TTTCAATACCCCACTGCTTGGTTGTTGTAATTTTTCATATGCTGACATGACTTATCTTGTCAAATTAGCACAGTTTATCCATGGCCTTTGATTAAAAAAAAACAAGAAGAAGAAGATCATTTCAATGCAAAACCATAAAGCTTGTGACCAAAAAAGGGGGTAAAAAGAAAAAACTTCTAGGATTCAACTTATGTGGACACAGCAACAAGATCTTATGAACTACCACTCAACTTGGTGATTGACTTATTTCTAACTTAATTAGCCAGAAGTGATTCCGTTGGATTCTAGAAATAGGTGCACAAGTTGATTATAAAAAACATTAGACTAAATAAAACCCTACAGCATAAATGAGCAAGATTACCTTTTTGGCACCAGGAATTTCATAGAATGATTTAGGACTATCAAGTATCATCATAGATATAAGTTGAATATACAAAGTCAAAGACAATGATTAATTTAATTTATGAAGCTACTATTAAACAAGATCAATCAAGTGTAGTACATCATTTGGAATAAATCAACAACTACTGCACTAGTGACAATGTAAATTAAGACAAATAAACAAGAACATAGAAGTACAGCACGTATCCGCTTTTCAAAATTTGATTGTACTTGGGGTTTGCTTTATTTTGTTTAATTTAAAATTTCTTATTGTGTATTGAAAAAAAAATCCTCTTCTTTAAAGATTTTACATATATCCTAACCCTTTTTCATAAAAAAGAAAGATGCACGCACCCACACATGCACACTAACCATATTAATGTTAGGTTCAAACCTATGATTTCTTTCGAGAGAAAAAGTTGTTGTAGTTATTTTGTGTGTATGTCAAGAGAAGTTCTACGTTGCTCACACGAAAAGAGCTCTTAATGTATAAATATTAAAAAATGAAATGGGTTAGTAAAATGAGCTTCGAGAAGAAGAAGATTTATGCACATGAAACAAGCCAACTGAAGGTAATTACAGTTGAAAATAGTCAATTCGCCCCCAATGTGCGAGTTAAATGGGCATTGGGTTTTTTTTACCAAATTATTTTTTATAAAAAAATAAATAATTATTTATTTAAATTAGCTTAAGCAAATTCTTAAATGGATTTTATTATTTCCATTTAATTGAGGGTTAATGGTTGTTTATTCTAGTGATTAAATCCTAACGTTCATGTCCAAGGTCTCGGACTATATATAGGCATGCATGCAGACTGAACCTTTTGCTTGTCTTTTGAGTTTTCAAGCCTATTCTTTCCTCCTCTACCTTTTATTGTGTGCTAGTTTGCCTAAGTTATCTTGTTCGTGCTTACTGTTCTATTGCCTTGCTTTTTGGCAGGACAAACTTATTTAATCCTGTAGAGTTGTCAGTTTACCATACCATGTGCCGGAATAATTTTTAAAAATAGTGTCCTTCAGCAAGACTCAAGTTTCATTTTCCTACTTGCCACCAACAGAAGGTGGGATTGCCATTAGAATAATTGACCGTTGACAAAAAAAAAATCCTCTTCTTGAAATGTCTCTTATAGTATCATCCTTTTTAATAGTTTAAGCTGGGAGTTAGGATTTAGCTTTTTGAACACTGATTTCCCCCCTTTTAACCTTATATACTTAGATTTGAATCTAATAAATGGTATAACTCTACTCATTTAATAAATATCTCACACTGACACGATAGTTATCGTTTAATTAAATTGAATGGTTGAAAGAGATTTTATCATATATAATACTTAAAAAGTATTAAATCTTAAATTTTTGAAGAGAACAACATATGTTTGAAGTGATTTGATCATGAGGAATTTTTTAAAATTTTTGAAGGAAAATGTATCTTAATAATTTTTAAATATTAATAAAATTTAATGATTATAATCAAAACACTTATTAAGTGAGTGGATTTAGGTCACTCATTAAATTGACTCTTGTATACTCTTGTTGTTTGTTATTGTAACTTGTAATGCATGAATCCACAATTAAAAAATAGAATTATATATAAGGTAAAGGTGCATTTTTATCTTTGAAATATTTTCTAAAGAACATCCAACATCCTAACATTTTTGTTAGAGTAATTTTATCGTTTTTATTAAATTTTTAATGTTAATCTCAAATGTTGCTACAACGAGCTGTGGGGGCATAATTAGAGATAATATAAACATCAATCTTTGGAAGCTTTTATGCTTAAACTTCCAGATGTGGACATTCTTGTTGCGGAAATTTGGGCTTGTCTTGGACACATGGGAAGTTTTGCTTGAGAAGTGACTTGCTTGAGATCCTTAATTTGATTAGAGATGGAGATAATAATATCCATGTTAATTGGGACGTGATTCCTGAATGCCACAATGTGCTGTCTCGAGATATGATTGTCAAGCTTGGCTATGTTTACAGGTAAGGGAGAGAAAAATCGAATTAAAATAAAAAATTAAACTGAATCGAATCAAATTTTATTTATTTAATTTGATTTATTTAGTTTTTTGGTTTAATGTGATTTTCTTTTTTTGATTTGAAAATTTTTAAACCAAATAAACTGAACCAATCAAATTATATATATATATATATACATATATATATATATATATATTTCTTTTCATATTTTAAAAAATGTGAATAATTCTCATTTAGATGAGTAAGAAACATTTTTCTATTACTTGTTGTAGTAGTATTTTTGTGTTTAATGTGATGTTCTAATTTTTTTATTTTTATAATTTAATTTTTAATGTAACAATATTGAGTTTTATTAATTTTTTCATAAATTATAGTATAAAATTGTTATTTTTTTGTTGGGCCTTCAATATTAAGGGAAAAAATTGAATAGAAAAATATATGAACAATTAGACTCTGTAAACTTGAATCAAACCTCATGAATAGAATAGACTACTCAAATCAAATCATTATAATTCAGTTTAATCATATATTTTAATTCGATTCGATTCAAATTTTTTATATAATTCGGTTGATTGATTTTAAAAAAAAATTGAAATCAAACTGGCCGAATGGTCACTGGAAGAGAACATGGAGGCTAATCACCTTGCTAATTAAAAAAGCTCTTGCACTTTTCCCAGGCTCCACTTTTTATCTTTGAAGGATCTTTCTCTTTTTGCTTCTGGTGTTGTAGAGTAATTGCTTCTTCTTCTTCTTCTTCTTTCTTCGTTTATAATTTTTTTTTTTTCCATAAACTTGATTATTTGGCACAGTTCCAACTCAAACGAGTGGAATTCACGTGATCTATGGCCAATTCTAAAAACTTTACTAAAAGCGTGGTCCCCTTGTGCCACGTCTTATCTCAATAAAATTCAAAAAAAAAAAAAAACCGTTGCTTGCGAGATAAAGATTGGCCTATTATTAAGTCACAGCATCAGCTTGTTCTATTAATGTCGTTCATAACGTTTAGTATGTTAATCTCTGTCGAGCCTAACATTTTTCACTTTCTCAGTGATATCAGCATTAATGTTATGTTTGCTTGGAGAGAAAAATAAGAAATAAATGAAAAAAATAAAACTATGTTAGAAAAGAATGAAATGGAGAGAAAGTTGAGAAAAAAAATAACTTACTAGACCTATATATTTTTTCTTTTAAATTGTTCTCTAAATATTTAAAGATTTTTTTAAAAAAAATTACTTTCAAATTTATTCATATATATATATATATATATATATTCACGTTCTGACAACCTCCCTCTATATTTATCCCTATATATGATTGTAGTTTAAAATTTTTAGATTATTGTACATAAAAATTATGTAAATAATATATTAAAATTTTAAGTTTTATTATACCTAAATATTTTTTATTTATAAATTATTGTCAAAATAAAATAAACAATTTTTTTTTCTTTTTCCTGTTTTCTCTTGGTCAAGCAAATGTGAATAGATGAAGAAAAAAAATCTCTTTCCTTTTCTCAACTCTTCACTTTTTCTTTCTTATCTTTTTTGTTTAGCCAAGCAACGGCATAAAGGTGTTTCTAGCATTTTGGCTTCTAGTTCTAATTCACCAACTTTAACACGTCACACCTTATCACACTTATTTTTTTTAAATATATATATATATATATATATCAAGAAAATACCACAAAGAGTTGGACTCCTCTGATTTATATTATGAATTATTTATGCAATAAAAACATATTTTGAATTATTTATATTTTTCTTTTGACATATTTGAAAGAAGAAAAAAACAGAAACATACATACACCCCTCCTGTAATGAAAAATAACAAGTTATTTCCATTTTATGTTTTGTTTTTTTGTTTGATAAAATCCATTTTATGTTTAGTTTCCTTGAAAAATTAATATTAAAGAAGTGGTATTTGAAATTTATGAAAAACAATGACAACTAGGCTCTCTATTTAGAAATTAATGACATATAAATTCCTTAATTTGTAAAATGACACAAATAAGATTCTTAACTGTCTAAAGAAACAAAAGTTTGATTGACAAGAATACCCTTTATAATTTGCCATTCTTGTCTATCAAACAAACAAGAAAAAAAGGTTTGATAGACACAATTAAATTCCTTGAATTTCATGTAATTAGAATTCGCATCAATTTGTATAATTTATGACTGATCTTTTAAAATTTATAGATCAATTGACTTATTTATTATATATAACTTATTTTTCAAAATTTTTAACGTAAAAATATTTTTGATCTATTAAGTGTGATTTTATAAGTGGATAATTTAAAATATAAAAAATTTTGATTCATCTAAAACTAGAATTATATAAAAATTTTAATTTAAAAAGGTAGTTATTACTTATTAGAATACATAAAAGCCACATTTATATATTAAAATTAATATTTTTTTCTGGACGAATTTTCAGTATTTAGAAAAATGTATAATTTGGAGACATAAGCTTGTTATCTTTTAATTATTTACACATATATAAATATATAAATTAATATAAAAACATAGGTACGTTAAAAAACAGTGGCGATAGTCTCTAGATTTTAGATTTTACTATTTTACTTTTTACATTGATATATTTGATCATACAATGTGAACACCGATGATGATGATTCCAATTCGCTGCCTTGTGCAGAGAAGCCAGAACACTGGGTATCGTATAAAACCACCCCTTATTTCACCCCTTTGCTTCATCCTCCATCTTGCTTGAGGGTTGGCTGAGAAAACCATGCCCATGGCCATGGCGCCTACGAAGGACCCACCATCACCGGCCTTTCTTGCCACTGTTGCTGAGCTTACGAGAATTTACAGATCGCTTCCCCCTCGACCTTCGATTGAAGAAGTCCAAGCTGCCAATTCTGCAATTGAAACTGTCAATAGCGAGGAGAATATGAAACTCCAAGAAATCTCAATGCAGCAAGTCCCTGACGGTGTTCCTGAGCAGCTTTTCTCTGTGTTACAAGAGTTGAAGAAGACTGTGGTCTTGTTCCAGGGCCTTGAACAGAGGAGAGAAGCTCTCCATCTTCTTCAACAAGAGAAGATGTTTCAGACCCTTGGTGATCTTATCCAGAGGGCTTCTCAATTCGTTTCCGGGGATGCTCCGGAACCGGAACGGCCCAATTTAGCCGAAGCAGCGGGGAAAATCGAGACAGATGTTGGTATCGGTGATGACAGTCTAGTGAAGGGAAAGGAAGACGGAGACAAACCGGAGAAAATTAACCTCATCGTTGCAGAAAGATCCTCCGCGAAGACGTCTTTCTCTGCTGGTTAGCTCGAATATCTCTCTGACTCTTGCGATTTTTTTCAAAGAATAATCCGCTAGCATAATTAACATGGATTGTGTTTGTTTTGTAGTTCCTGTGCGTATTTTATACCCGGATTATATCCTGAAGTTGGAAAATTGAACGCCAAATCCATCATGGTTTTGTGTGATTATGCTGTTAAGGTTTTTTCTCTGTCTTCAAAACAAAATGTTTCGTTACAATTATAGAGGTTTTGTTTTGGCCTGAATATAGAGGTTCATTAAAACAGTTCATTGTCTCTCTATATGAATATAGATACCACAATTACTGATGTTAAATACCTTTATTATCTCTTATTTGGCCTGTAGTTTTTGGAATTGACATGGTCAACCATGTAAGCTAGAAAAGACAACGGTATTTGATATGAATGGTGTTTATGATAATTTTGAAACAGTCATTCTTCGGAGCGATTTTATCTTCCTACGGTAGTGCACAGTGGCTTCTGTAACTTGCAAATATTGTCTTAGGCCAATCAATTCACTCAACTAAATGTGTATCCTTTGATCTGAGAGTATTTTGCAGATGATGGAAACGCCCAGAAATTAAGTCTCATGAAATTGGCCACAGTTATCGAAAATTGTGCTAACAATGGAGTGGCAATCCTTGAGCTAAGAGGGAAACTTGAGGACCGGATGGAATGGTTGCCTGTTTCAATTGGGAAACTGTCTCATGTATGTGAGATGGACCTATCTGAGAACAGCATCATGGCTCTTCCTTCCACCTTTGGGGGTCTCAAGGCCCTAACAAAGCTCGATCTTCACGCCAACCAGCTTATAAACCTTCCACACTCTTTTGGAGAATTGATAAACCTCACTTATCTTGACCTTCACGCCAATAGATTGAGATCACTGCCAGCTTCTTTTGAGAAGTTGGAGAATCTCATTGATCTTGACCTGAGTTCAAATGAGTTCTCACAATTACCAGATTTGATTGGGAATTTAAGAAGCTTGAGAAGGTTAAATGTTGAGACAAATGAACTCGAGGAGCTACCTTATACAATTGGAAAATGTTCATCACTGGCAGAGCTGAGGCTAGATTTTAATCAGCTCAAAGCACTTCCTGAGGCAATTGGCAATATTGAGTGCTTAGAGATTTTAACTCTGCACTATAACAGAATTAAAAAGTTGCCTACTACAATGGGGAACTTGTGCAGACTGAAGGAACTTGATGCTAGCTTTAATGAACTGGAATTTGTGCCAGAGATCTTATGTTTTGCTGTTAGTCTGAAGAAATTAAATGTGTCGAATAACTTTGCAGACCTAAGAGCCTTGCCAAAATCAATTGGGAATCTTGAAATGCTTGAGGAGTTGGATATAAGTGATGATCAAATAAGAGCATTACCAGAGTCTTTCAGGTTCTTGTCCAAATTGAGAGTTTTTCGTGCTGAACAGACTCCTCTTGAATTGCCGCCCAGAGAAGTTGTCAAATTGGGTGCTCAGGTAGGGAAAAATTTACGGAGAAAATACATTTTATCCCATAAACACTGAGCACTAAATAGTTGTTTTGGGAGGGTTAGGGAGTGGATTTAATATTTTAAAGTTGAAGAAGTGCTTAGTTTTGCTCTAAACTAGATTTTATATGCCACTTTTTGTAACAAATTTAACTACTGAGAGGTAAAATATAATTTTCCTGGGTAGCATTGGAACTTTTTCCTGTTCTCATTTCTCTACAGAATTGATCTAAACTTCACTCTCTTTTTTATTCTCCAGGAAGTTGTGCGGTACATGGCTGATTTTGTAGCCAAGAGGGATGCGAAATTTGTGGTACTGACGAAGAAGAAGAAGAGGGGATTTTGGTTCTGGTTTTGCTCAATATTCTGCCCCCAACAGAGAAGATTTTGAATGAAACCATGTCATTAAGCTCTCTCATCACATTACATTTTGCCCTCCATGTAATTTGGAAAGCCTTTCCGGAAGGAAATGTTCAATACTTGTGGACTTTGCTTTGTTGTCTTGCGAGTGTTTTATATAATAAGACTGTAAATTTCTGGTGTGACTGTCAGTCTGTCTGTTGAAAATCAGATGGACGTAAACAACCACTGTCATTGTAATACCAGGAACATCATCCTGGTCATGCTCTGTATAAAATGGTTGTCTTTATTTGTGATTCATTCCCTTTAGAGTGGGTTTTAGTGTACGTGTTCTGGCTTTTCTTTTGTGACGTTTTACTGGACTTGTGCAATCATTGTGAAATCTGGTTGTTCGAAGGTAAATTTTACAAGAGGATGACAAATGAATAAATCTAAAGTCAGAGTCACTTCAAGTAATGTAACTTTTTGCTCAGTTCATGTTAAATAATTACTTTTGAATATCAGATGTGGTATTACAAGATGTTCTGAATTACGCGTGAAAACTTCCACATTTCGAGTTGATATGTCTGTAGCTTTATTATGTTTGTTATTATCAAATTATTTGCTCATTTTTTTTAAAAAAATTATCCTAACTTAACCCATTTTATAATAAATAAAAAAAAAAGGGGGGAAGGCACACCTCCATGTATATACACACCTATGTCAATATTAAATATGAACTCATGACCTCTTTCAAACAAGGAACATGGATGTGCTCCAAAGATAGCTTGTCCTTAACAAATTACTTGATCATATGATTATTTGCATGCTTTGTTAAATTCTTGCATGTGAATGATGCAAGATGAATCATAAATTGATGAGATTCCTAAATAATTTACTAATAGAAGTGTTTAAGTGGCTCATCTACTCTAAATTTGATTCCTAATTCTCTTTTTGTTCTCATAAAACAAATATTTTAACATAATAGATTAGGAGTAAAGGTGTTCAAAATCAATCCAAAACAATTATACTAAACCAAATTGAACTAACCAATATAAACTAATCAAAACTGATTATAAAAAAGATTTGGTTTAATTTTTCTTTTAGCAAAACCAATTGATTTGATTTGGTTTAGGCTTTTGTCTCTTAAAACTTGAACCGAATCAAACGAAGCTTTATTATATCTATTTCATATATTTTTATAAATTTGTCTTAAAAAATTTCTCTTTCCCAAATTTAGTTATCTATAAATCACCCTTGTTAAAAATATGTTGTAATTAATTAAATGTTGCTTATGATTATTTTTTAATTTATAATCAAGTGTTTATAGGGTAACATATTAATTTTTAATAGTTAGATGTATTAAACAAACAAACAACAACAATAACAACAAGCCTTTATCCCACTAGGTGGGGTCGGCTACATGGATTGCAAGACGCCATTATGCTCTATCATTTATTAAGCTTTTAGAAATATTATTAATTAAGAGATCACGTTCAACAACTTCCAAGAGTGTTCTCTTAGGCCTTCCTCTACCTCTCTTAATCGGACTCAAAGTTATATGTTCCACTCTTCTCACTGGTGCCTCCCTTGGTCTTCTTTGTACATGCCCAAACCATCTCAACCGATTTTCTACCATTTTTTCCTCAATAGGTGCCACCCTCACTTTTTCACGTATGTGCTCATTTCGAATTTTATCTTTACGTGTATGTCCGCACATCCATCGTAACATTCTCATCTCTGCTACTCCAACTTTATGCTCTTGCTGTCCCGTTAGAGCCCAGCATTCACTACTATATAACATTGCCGGTCTGATAGCAGTACGATAAAACTTTCCTTTAAGTTTATTAGGCACCTTACGGTCGCAAATAACTCCTTTAGCTTTTCTCCAATTAAACCACCCAGCTTGAATTCTATGTGAAATATCTCCACTGATTTCGCCATCATTTTGAATAATGGCTCCCAAATATCTAAACTTTTCCACTTGAGGTATAATTTGATCTTCCAATTTCACTTCCAAATTATTTTCGAATAGTCCTTTACCAAATTTATAATATAAATATTCCGTCTTACTTCTACTCAGACGAAAACCTTTCAACTCCAATGTCCTCCTCCATAACTCAAGTTTGCAATTAACCTCTTCTCTTGTCTCTGCTATAAGAACTATATCATCCGCGAAGAGCATACATTTCGGGATTTCCTCTTGAATATGTTCCGTCAAAACATTTAAAATCAAGTTGAACAAATAAGGACTCAGAGATGATCCCTGATGTAGTCCAATCTTTATAGGAAAATCCTTTGTTTGACCACTAGGCGTTCTTATACTAGTTTTTACCCCCTCATACATATCTTGTATGGCTTTAATATAAGCAATCCGTACTCCCTTTTTTTCCAACGCTTTCCAAAGCACTTCTCTTGGTATACGGTCATAAGCTTTTTCCAAATCAATAAAAACCATGTGTAGATCTTTATCTTTACAACGATACTTTTCCATTAATCCCCTTAGTAGATAAATTGCCTCTGTAGTTGATCTACCTGGCATAAAACCAAATTGATTCTCAGAAATACTTGTCTCCAATCTCAACCTGTGCTCAATTACTTTCTCCCACAATTTCATTGTGTGGCTCATGAGTTTAATCCCTCTATAGTTAGTACAATTCTAAATATCTCCTTTATTTTTATAAATAGGAATTAATGTACTTCTCCTCCACTCATCAGGCATTTTCTTGGATCGTAAAATCACATTAAATAACTTAGTTAACCATCTCACCCCTTCTTCACCTAAACATTTCCACGCTTCGATAGATATACAATCAGGTCCGTTAGCTCTACCATTTGCCATTTTCTTAAGAGCTTCCTTTACCTCCTTATCACGTATTTTTCGATAGAATGACAAATTTTGTTCTCCTTCACCAGTTACTAAATCCTCCAAGTTACTAGATGAATCCTCTCCATCATTGAAAAGTTTAGAAAAATAAGTCTCCCATCTATTTTTAATTTCATCATCTGTAACTAAAATTCTTCCCTCTTCATCCTTAATACACCTTACCTGTTCTAGATCTCTTGATTTTCTTTCCCTACTCTTGGCAATCTTATAAATATTTTGCTCTCCTTCCTTCGTCTCAAGGTTCTTATAAAATTCTTCAAAAGCTTTAGAACGAGCTTCACCCACAGCTCTCTTAGTTTCCTTCTTAGCCATACGGTACCTCTCCCAATTTTCCTCATTGTTACACAAATGTATGGCTTTAAAACAGTTCTTCTTATACTTGATTTTGTCCTGTACACTATTATTCCACCACCAAGACTCCTTATCTCTCGGACCAGAACCTTTTGATTCTCCCAAAACTACTTTTGCAACCTCCCGTATCTTTTTAGCCATATCCTCCCATATGATGTTAGCACTTCCCTGAGAATCCCAAATTCCTTTATCTAAAAGATTTCGTTTGAAAATATCTTGCTTCTCACCTTTTAATTGCCACCACCTAATCTTTAGTGTTACTACTTGTCGACGTTTTTGGATTTTACTCATAATACACACATCAAGGACTAGGACCCTATGTTGTGTCGTTACAGCATCTCCAGGGATCACCTTACAATTTTTACAAAGTTTTCTATCTGTGTTCCTAACCAAAAGAAAATCAATCTGCGACCTTGAGGCTCCACTTTTGTAAGTGATGAGATGCTCATCTCTCTTTTTGAAACAAGTGTTGGCAATCTTAAAATCATACGCCAATGAGAAATCAAGAAGAGTTTGCCCTTTATTATTTTGCTCTCCAAAACCAAAACCACCATGCACCCTCGCATACTGACCAGCTTCCCTCCCGACATGCCCATTAAAGTCTCCTCCAATAAAAATCTTTTCACTCTGTGGTATATGTCGAATCAACCCCTCCAGATCCTCCCAAAATAATTCCTTAAGACTGGCTTCTGTCCCGACTTGCGGCGCATAAGCGCTAACAATATTAACAGTCTCACGTCCAATTATCATTTTTAAAGAAATAATTCTGTCTCCAATTCTGCTAACTTCTACAACGTTCTTCTTCCACTCATTATCTATAATGATGCCTACTCCATTGCGTGCACTTACTTTTCCTGTATACCAAAGTTTGAAACCTTAAATATCCTTAGCTCCTTCTCCACGCCATTTTGTTTCTTGCAAGCAAAGGATATTGATTTTTCTTTGAATCATAACCCGTACAACCTCTACAGATTTACAATTTAATGTCCCAACATTCCAAGTACCAAATCTAATTTTGCTCTTATGGACTAACTTCTTTAGCCGCGTGCGTCCAGAATGACGCGGTAGCCCTTGCTCATTTAACACTACATCCGGGCGCCGATGCAGCGGCTCTAACTCACTTATCACTGTACTCGAGCCATGCAGCGCGTTACTTACGGGCAACGACCTAGCATTAACATTATAACGTCTATTGTCCATGTAGTTAGATGTATTAAACAATTGTTAAAAAAAAATATTCTTTTGTTTTGAAGAGATTTTTTTCCATTGAAAATATTAATTAATAGTTAAAAATTATTTGTTAAAATGCGTACATACATACATACATATATATATATATATATATATTGATTATAAAAATATCTAAAAATACTCAATCTTAATTTAAATCCAAACCAAACTGTTCAAAAATTGAATAAAATCGTTTGAAAAAAAAAATAAATGGGTTTTAAATTTTGATGATGTATTCGGTTTGGTTTTTCCTCCGAACTAAACCAAACCGCATCTATAAACACCTTTACTTAGGAGCCTAACAAATTGAAGAGTTGTTAATTTTGTTATCATCTGCGGCCGCATAATTCCTTCTTATCCCATTTGGATAGAGCCATGAGAGAATTAATGAAGTCTGGTCAACAAACAACAAAAAATTAGTGATATTTTTCTGCCATAACAAAAAAAGAGTGATATTAAGTACAGCAATAAGGGTTGACTAGAATTAAAAAAAAATGGTTTATTAAATTTAAAACGATGGGCTTAAAACCGGAGCAACTCTTTATTAGGGGCGTTCAGATTTTCTCTGTTTCTACCTAGAAAATATCATTCAACATAAACTATAACCTTTTAAATTAATTATCAAATGAATAACTTTTTATTATATGAAGATTAAAATATATTTTTAATACTTTAACTTTACGTATAGTTTTATTTTAATCATTTAATTTTATATTGCTTTTTAATTTTGTAACCTCAACACTGTTAATTTCCTCAATAACAAAAAAATTCCTACATTCAGATTTTAAATGTTAAAAAAAAACTCAAACAATAACCTATTCAATTTATTTTTTAAAATAATAATAATTGACATAAAAATAAATATTTAAAATTAAATGTGTAAGAGTTAGAGAATTGAAAAAAATACTTTAATGGTGAAAGAGAGTAGCTTGTGTTTTGTTCTTTAGATTTCTGTAACTTCTGTTTATTTTAATGGCAATCCAGTATTATTAAAAAAATACTTTATAAAATTAAGAGATCAAATTTAAACCTTATATAAAATTAAATAATAAAAGTATATTTTAACCTCATTTAAATTGCTATGAATGATTAATTAAATTAAATTAAATTTATAATAAAAGTAGCATCCCCCATGTTGCATGTTGGACTTATATTTAATTTTTCCCCCATTTGTTACGTTTTTGTGGTCACCATTGTTAACAAGATTAAGTGGCATTTTTATTCCTCAACTATACTTTGATAAGTGCTCAATATCCTAACCTACTTGTTGTAGTATATTTGCCCATAATGTTAAATGCTCCAACATTAACTGTTAAAAATGCTATCTAATATTTAAGTTTGCTTGAAATTGTCGCATGTCATATCAAATGGATAAAAGTTAAAGTATATTTTTTCTCTTAAACTATTTTCTAAAAAGTACTCAGTGTTTTAAATTAATTTTGTTGTAGCAATTTTGCTCCTAAAATAATTAAAGCATGGAAAAAATGTACTTTAAATTGGATTCATTTTGTATAAATAAGTGGCATTTTCAGTCAAATTAAGTCGCAATTAGCATTTTAATGGTCAACATTAGGATGTTTAATGTCAAGGATAAATATGCTATATTTTAATTATTTCAGAGATGAAATTGCTGCGATAAATAGTTTAAAATACTGAATGCTCATAGAAAAATAATTCAAAAATAAAAATATACCTTCATCCTCTTTAATAAAATAAAGTATTATTATTATTATTATTTTTCATGCTCCATGTCTGCATCGACATGTTTGTTTAAAGTCCTAAACTATGACATCGCCTTCAAAGTCGTCTTACAAAATTTGAAACTTAATACCAATTTTTTATTTGACATTTGATTGATGTCGTTACTTCCACATTAATGTTTTGCTTAATTTCTCTTGATTTTTATTGAACTGTTGAATTTCTTGAGACAATGACATTGCAATATTAAAATATAAGACACATTTTCTTACACTAAATTTGAAGCAAGTTGCATCACATATTTTCTATAAAACGGATTTCTTTTTGTCTTTTTCTGTCATCTAAACCTCATTTCAAATTTATATGACGTTTTATCCAAGAATTACATATCTTTTTCAATAAAATTGACTTTATTGCCTATCAATTAGACGGATAGTAAAATATATATAGTGTTAGAAAGTTTAATAATGTATATAAAATTTGTGGCAAAAAAAAAAGTATATAAAATTTAAAAGGATAACATAATCGATAGAGACCAATAATATCTTATTTTTGTGCTACGTTGGAATCTTTCTTTTAAATTGTTTGATTTTATTGTGATCCAAATCCAATTAAGGAGTATTCAAAATTTTCATATTTCTAAAGTCATAACTAATTAGCTTACTTACGGAAAAAGCTAAGTAATATTTAATGCTTTTGATCCATAAAAAAATTCTGGCCAAATCAATTCCCAAAATAGATTAAGAAAGTCTTGAGCCGTACTATGATCGTCCCCCCAACCTTTGGCTAGAAAATATAATATAGTGAGAATAATATTTAAGGACCTCTCAAACAAATTCATCACTATAATGGCCCATTAGTTTTTTTATTAAATATTATCTTGTAAAAATATATATGTGTATATTATTATTAAAAGCTGAACTTTAACTTATATTTGTTGTTTATATTTTTTTAAAAAATTTAACAAGTTAAGGTTCAGCTTTTAACAACGATATATATTTGTTTTTATAATATAATATTTCATATAAAATTAATGCACCCTTATTGCGATAAATTCTCTTAAGAATGTCTTAAATGTTATTCTTCCTATAATATATTAATAAATAAGGATATATTACATCAAACTAAGAAATAATCCTATCATTCTCCCTCTAATAAACTCCAAGTAAATGCATAAGAAAGAAAAGCAAATTGGGATGTTGAGATAAATTTTTGAAAGTACACTTTTATCATTTTAAAACTAACAATAATAATACTGTCTATACAAAAATGAGTTTATTTGGTTAGTCTAATTAATAAAGATTTAACACATAACATACAAGATCGGTGATAGAACTATGTTTTGGTGAGGGTGTGTAAATGTATTCCTTACTTTTTTTTTTTAAAAAAAAAGAGTAAGGTCTATAAATTTTGCAATTTTATACCTTTTACTTTTGATAATTTGCTTCATTTGAACTAAATAAAAAATATTTGGGCTGAAAAACTTATTAGTTATGTTTTAATGATCAATATGGGATATGAATAACATATTTACATAAAAACCATATTAACATGTTTAATATAATTTTTAAAAAGATAAATGATGATCAATATAATAATATTATTACAATTTTGATCCTAGAGTAATTTTTTTAATTGGATTAAATAAGAATTTGACCTCCTTGTCCAATGTTCTCCCTCAAATCATGAAAATAGTACACTGTAGCCCTTATTAAAGCTATTCACATGGCTTGAAAGTCCAATCAACCTGGCCATACTGAAAGCATTTGGGTATCAAGCTAAAGTCAAACCCTTCCCTACCCAACCTGTTCCAAACATGCCAATTTTTTAAAATATTTTTATGAATAATATTTATTCTATAGTATTATTTTTTGTTGAAAATTATTACGAACTATATTATCTTTATGACTTTTTAGATAATTCTTATGATTACATTTTTTTAATCTCTTGCAAAATTTAAAAATTAATTTTTACTTAATATTATGTAAAAATATTTGATTGTAGTTGTTGATTATATGTAATTTTAAAAAAATTACTTTGAATCTAATATTAAATTTATAAAAAATATATTTTAAATGATAATAGTTGTATTTTTTTATAAAGAAAAACTCTTTATATATTGAGTCAATCGAGCCAAACTCAGCCAAACACTTGGGTATTGAGCTAGTTTAAACTGCACATCGAATAAAGCATTGGGCAAGGGTGATGCTTACCCTAGCCTATGTGTAGTTTAGCCCCTATCATTATTAAAAGTTAACTTTAAATGTTAGTTAGTTAGAAAAGAATCTCAAAAATTAAAGAAAATGACCAAAGTATTTTTTTATTATTTTATATAATTTTTTAGGTCATTGCTTGGTGAGCCATTGAACCCTATTCACCTAAATTTTATTACAATAAAATAAATAAATTTATTTATTTAAGATTATCTTTAGGGTCAAATATGACATAATAGATCTTGGATTTGGATCATACAAATTACAAAAAAAAAAAAGAGAAAATTATGAAGGCCCAGTTGTTTAGTTGGGCCTAAACCAGAAAAAAATTTCCAAGTCTCTCTCTTTTTTTATTTGAATTTCCAAGTCTTCGTGGAGGCCGTTTGATTTGGGAATGAAAACCCCAGATTTCTTACTGCTTTTCATTTCACTTCCAGTCTTACACTCTCTCAAATCTCAACGCTTTTCCTGACCTGAAATCATCTACTCGTTTGTTTCGCAGCTCCTTGGTCCTTGCTTTCAAATCCTGGGTACCGCAGTTTTTGTTTGTTGCCAGTTTGTCTGAGCATTTTTTGATTTCTTATTCGGTTTTATGCACATCGAAACATTTGTGTCAGTGATTTATGGAATTGTTGCTTTTGAAATCAAGTTTTGATTGTTTAGCTCAAATTTTATTTTTGATTTTCTTGATGTGGCCTCCCTGTGTATATAGAGACCCGATGAATTGGACAACTGTTTGAATAACCATTACACAAGCCAATGAATAAGGATGTTTTGGCAATTCCGTCTGGATTAATTAATTTCTGCTTCGTAGTGTTTTAATGCACAATTTCTAAGCTAAAAAGTCACATGGAGAAAGTGCTAACAGCATGTAATGATAGGGAGTCACTTGCGGTTGATGGACCCTTTTATGTTGACGGGGATTTCGACGTGAATTTTGGAGGTTTAAGGGTGTTGTGAAACATGCTCTTTTTCTGCCAAGCAAGCTATTGATAAGAATCTGCATTCTAGAGCTCAAACTGGACTGGAATGGCTGAGAACTCCAGAAGACCTGATGAGGAGTTGAAAGTGCTTGGCAAAAACACCATCAATCAAAATTTGGATGTGTACATATGGGATATGGACGAGACCCTTATACTGCTGAACTCCTTGCTGAAGGAGTCCTATGCAGAGGCTTTTAATGGCTTGAAGGATGTCCAGAAGGGTGTGGAGATTGGGAGGATGTGGGAAAAGCTCATCCTGCAATTGTGTGATGATTATTTCTTCTATGAGCAAGTAAAGTTTGGCATTTATGTGGAGATTTGTGTCACTTGTTTTATTTCTGGAATATTCATATTTTGATATGGATCTTTTTCGTGCAGATTGAAAGTTACAATAAGCCATTTCTTGATATTTTGAGCGAATATGATGAAGGAAGGGACCTCTCTGATTATGACTTCAACCAAGATGGTTTGGGTCCTCCCGTTGATGAAGACAACAAAAGAAAACTTGCATATAGGCATCGAGTTATAGCCCAAAAGTACATATTGGTAAAAATGAAGTATAGCTTATGTTATATGCCCCTTTCTATGAGTTCACTTTTATGCCTATGCGGTTTATGGTGCAATGTTGATCCTTCTGTCATGTAAATTTAAAATTATTCACTTATGGATAACAAGCTTAGTGTTGTAAATGAGTGCTTGGCCTTGTGATGAACTGACCGAGGATCCATCACGAAGGTAAACGAAGATGCTTCATTAGAAAGTGGCTACTGCAAATGATTGTAAATTTAACTTTTGAAATCCCATGTCAGCAAATTGATAGTTATAATTGATGATAATCAACTTTTCGACAAAATTAATTCTTGTAATATAGAATTAGACTACCTTTTCAAAATCTCCTCACAAGCATGGGTGCATCAAATGGAGATAGTAATGTTAATGACTGAGTTGATGCACTTGATGGAGCAAGATTATTTTAACTTAGAATAAGGTTGTAACCAAAACAAGCTGTACTTTACTATTTTTGCAAGCTCATTCATCACTAGTATGATCTAGCATGAAACGTAGCCTCCTCATTCTTGTTTCAGGGTTTAAAGCATCTCTTAGACCAAGAGACAGCTAAACTTTGGGATCAGTTATATGAGACAACTGATGCATATACTGATAGCTGGCTTTCCTCAGGTAGTTCTGACTCTTGACAATTTATTGATGTTAATAGTGTCATATGACTTGTTTTATTCATATCTGCCATCTTTAAATTACTGTAGCACGGGCATTTCTGGAGGAGTGTTTGGGTGAAAATAAGGATGCAGATTCCTCTGTTGCGCTTCCTGAGACCAGTGCTGAGTCAACCAAAGTGACACGCCAGCGTGTTAATGTTTTAGTGACATCTGGATCGCTGATACCCACCCTTGTAAAATGCATGCTCTTTCGTATTGACAGTCTGATAACACATGAAAATAGTGAGTCCAATTCTCTATGGTTTGACTTCCATGTTACAGAATGGGCTTTTCATGCCAAACATGATTACAATTCTTAATTACATACCATTATATTACAGTTTATAGCTCATGGGACGTAGGGAAAGTTCAGTGCTTCCGATGGATCAAAGAGCGTTTTGACCATCCCAATGTACGTTTTTGTGTAATTGGAGATGGTTGGGAAGAGTGTGAGGCGGCAAAAATCATGAGATGGCCATTTGTCAAAATTGACCCGCGGCCAGGCACACCATACAGGTTCCCTGGGCTCACCTTGAGAACAGTGAGCCACTACTTTTCTGTGGTGTATGGAAGTCTTAATAATGAGAACGATGAAGAATAGCGCTCAATCTTCTTGATGTCATCATCCCCCTTCCTAGGATTCCAATCTGTACAGAAAGTTCTGGCCTTCAGGTTTCAGCATATGTGTGAATCACAGCCGTTAGATGGTTGCCACAACTTAGGTAATTGGCATTGAGGAGATTAAGGGGAACTACTTTTCTTACAATTTTTAGATTGTAACTTGTAGATATGAATGTGAGTTGTGGATCATCCGTCACTCCTAATAATGCATGTATGATGTACCTTGTAAAGGCACTCGTTTGTCCCTTCTGATATTGACGGTTTGGTGCATATTCGGAGAGCCACAAGACACATACCCTACGGCCCTTTGCCACACTATCCTCCAAACCGAGATTTGGAAATGGAATAGTTTTCAGGCTAGGCAAATCAACCACATAACTTGAATAAATTTGAACCGTTGAATGGCAATGTTCCGAGGAATCATTTACCAGGTGGATCAATGATTTCAATATTTATTCAATTAGTTCAAGTTTCTGATAGTCGATTCAGTCTCAAGGTAACAGCAACTAATTTTTCTAATATATGCTAAGATTTCTTTTTACCTATTTAAGGCATTGAGTGGATTGATTTGATTTTAAGGATAAGATCAAGATGATTCATTCGATATGGATGAGATTGAGGCTAAGTATCTGAATGAGCAAACCTATCAATTGGAGAAATTCTTGTATGAATTCGGTACATTATGTAATCATGTTCTCTCCAATCAATACTAGTTATGTCAAATGATTATAAATATAAATTAAGTACATAAAAATAGAGAAAAAACCAAAAAAATTAAAGCAGTAATTTTTAAAATATAAAAGTAATTTTCAAAAATAAATTTATTAAAAATAAAGATAAATAAAATTTTATTTGATTGAATTGATATAATTTTATTGAATAAAATATAAATCACATGGTACATGAACAGCGCAAGAATCTCTCACCTAATTTTTGATTTGATTAATTGTTAAATCTGTAAGCATTAATTACTAAGGTAAGGATATGGTTCCAATTTGTCAACAAAATGGGCATTTTCAGTATCATCTTCGGCCTTGCATTGCTGACATTGACTTTGCATCCTGTTCTTTTTTTTTTTTTTTTTCTTTTGTCAATATCTGATACAAATACACTCGCTGCAGTTTTTCTTTTCCTCATTTATTGCTAGTATCTAACTTTGATCTGTTTATTCAAGCTATTAGAATAAGTAGGAAAAAAATTTAAGCCCAACCCGATTAGGTACAAGCTTGATCTAAATATTTAAATAAAAATTATTTTTTTAAAAATATATAAAATATAATAAATATTAATTAATTTTTTAATTTTTAGGTCATGATATACTAAAATATCATATGTTTGAGTACATTACTATAAATATTTTTTTAAAAAAATAAAAATATTTATATTGTAATATTTTTATTATTTTTAATCTATAAAATATTTCAAAATAATATTTAAAATATGTTTTAATATTTATTTTTAGATTTTAAGACTCACATATTTTCTTAAAAAAAGTTGAGTCTTACACATTGTTTAAATATCCAAAAAATATATTTTATAATTTTTTATAAAATTAACTAATTAACTTTAAAGGAAAAATTAAATTAAAAATAATTTTAAAAATAAAATTTGGGCAATCAAGTCTAGTTTGGTCATTTGTGCTTTTCAAGAGGTCAGGGTTTATTTGAATTGGGCTTATTCGAGTCCGAATAAACTGGGCCCACCTAAATTCCTGACTGATCAACATAACATTATTAATATGATTCTTTCTCCAGTTCTAACTTATTAAAGGTTAAATAATGCCAACATAAAATCCCAACATTCAATACTTTTTCTCCTAATTAAATTGCTATGTATATAAGGATTAGATTTGAACTTCCAACTACTTGTTTAAGTAACTAGATTCTGTATTACTCATGTCAATTTTAATTAGTCTGAGATTCAACACTAATATGCCTTAAAAACTCAAGTTTCCCATATCCTTTTTCTATTGTAAATGGATACCCCTTATAAGTCTTATTTCTAGGATACATTTGATCACCGATATAGTCTTGGTTTATTTCTACATCTATATAAAAATTTTCATGATCAAATGGATTCAGTTGCAGAAAATCTAAAATTGCAGACTGAATAAGTGGAAAATGGCTTGAAATTTCAGATTTAATCTTCGTTAAATATAGTGTAACTGAGTATCAATGACATTTAAGAATGCAACAAATGCATAGAGTTCCGTTGCTGCCATATTTCTCTTAGCTGTAAAACACATTTAACCAGAAAAGAAACCCAACATATATGCAACACTGTAATCATCTCATGATAGATGTGACATGGAAATTCATTATCCTAACAAAAATCAAGAAAAAAATGCAAAAAATTCTGGAAGAATTATGTCTAGCATATTTTGAGAGATAAAAGACAAAAGAGAAGAGAGATTCGAAGGAGGAAACGTGCACAATCACACTGGGGGATGAGTCCCTTGCTTGCTCTTGGAATAAATATATATAATTTTTTTCTGTGCCCTCTTTTTTTCCCCTTCAAAGGGATCAGGGGGTTAGAACGCGGAGAAAATCCAATAAAAGTACACAGCTTTGTTGGGACCCTGATCTTGCATGCATTAAGCTTATCTGTGGACCTTGTTTTCAGTTCTTTGTATCATAATGTTTCTCCATTCACAAAAGTTGCAGGTGCTATTCTACCCATACCTCATGAGGACTTTTCTTAGTGGTTTCCTGTCCTTGGATCTTCTCAAATCTTAACTTTCCATTCTTTCGCCTTCTTTGTCTTCTCCCTTATTTTTATATTCTTCTCTATTCTGGGTCTCAAATTTCCCCTTTTTAATTTCTCCATCACAATAATATTCAGATACAGATTCTTTGTGCAACTATTGTATAGGTAATTTTTGTCTCGGTAAATTTGGAGACAGGCTTATGTGTTGTCATTGCAGAATTTATATATACCCAGATAAGGAAAAAGCAAAACTTTTCACGGACATCATCAGAAGCCTAACATGGCTCTGACTCACCAACTACAGCAATCACCTCATCTTTGTCCAATTATCACGTCATTTAATCCGTGAGAAATAATCCTCAGACCAACTAATTACATGTTCCTTGTTGAGGGAGATGTGATTGTTACTTCAGCTGGGAAAAACTTGATTGCAGCATGTTGTTTCAATGGAATCATGTTCTGGGAGGAATTTGTATAAACAATTAATAATAATAATAATAATGTGATGCTCTAAAAGCACAAAGACAAAAAATGGTGGACCACAAGCTTAAATGCTCACTCAGGCTTTGAAGTGGATTCAACATCCACAGCACACAGAATGGTGAGAAGAGTTTTGCAGACGGCCCTGATTGACCTGTAGAAGCAACGTGGCTCATTCTATACCATCAACCTCCGTGAGAGAAAAAGGAGTGTAGCCAGTTTGCATCACTCACGTGCATGCACTGAATTGTGCTCCTATGGTAAAGCGAGAGAGAGAAAGAAAGGAGGGGGGGGGAGGACCCAGGATTGCTTGGTGGGGTTGATCTTGATATGCCACCAACAGAAATGGTAGTTAATCACTCAGATATATAGTGGGAAAGCAAGCATTGAAAGTTTCTAAAAAACTTAAGTAACACAAAATGAAGGTGAAAAAAAAAGGACGGTCCTTTTACAATTCAACTTTTCTAACTCTATTTCTTTCCTATGCTCACTTATATCCTCTCTTTCATTTTTTTTCCTCCTTCTCCTCCTTTCCTCTCTCTCTCTCCTCAAACTTCTTCTACAGAAGCAAGCTGCTAAGGGCACGTGTTTGCCTCACTTCCTCCATTGTTCAACTAAATTTCATTTCTTGTGGAAAAGGGCCTTAATGCTTTTCTGGTTCTGGGATTCTTGTGGCTTTCTGAAGAGAAATTTGTGTAATCTGACTCTACTATTCTGTTATACAGGCTGTCGTTTTACTTTGTTTCTGGGTGATAATTGGCATCAATGGCAAATTGTATTGTCTTTTCATGCCTTTTAATTCCATCGACATGTGTATTACTTTCCTCCCTTTTATTTTTGAATCTTTACATTCTTTCTTCTTGTTCCAGGAATTGTGAAAATGGGACAGAGAGTTTTGTTCTCTGTGTAGACATTGGAAGAGAAAGAAATAATCTTTTTGAGAGATTATAATGCCAGTTCCACTTGCCCCTTACCCTACGCCTCCAGCTCCATATACGCCTCCAGCTAATGGTATCTTGCTTTCTCTGCTTTCTTTACTCATTCATGTCGGTCCTCTTCTGTGTTTGGTTGCTAAGAAAGTAGCCTAGAAATCTTATCTCCTAGGAACTTTGTTGTGATGGTTGAAGGGAGATTTGAACTCTATAGCTTATTACATTTTGGAAATTCCCATGTCCTTTTGTACTATTAGTAGCCAGTGTAGATAAGAGAACAAGTAATCAGATAAGATGAATATAAGATTGAAGGGAGTACATAAAAGCTGCTTTCCACTAGCCAGCGGAAGAATGGGTGGCTTAAACATGAAGGTGTGTTTGATAAAATTCGTCAGTGACTCTGATTTGTATTGAATATGCGGATTTGACATATCTGATGATACGTCTTTAGATAAAGTTATCTAAGCAAGTCGAGTTTCTCCCTTGGTCTCGATGCTAGAATTCTTGTTGCTATATTATCAAATGTGAAACGGAAAAAAGATTTTGTTTCTGGTTATTGGGGTCATTTATTTGACCGTGAAACTTACAAAGGATTTGTGAAAACCTGGATTTGCAAGGAGCTACACAGCAGAGTCAGCTTGTGTGTTGTGGGTGTAGAAACCTTCTGCTCTATCCAGTTGGAGCAACATCTGTGTGCTGTGCAGTTTGCAATGCAGTCACTGCAGTGCCACCTCCTGGTATACTTTTATTTCCTCTCTCTTGGTCTCTATGATGTCTCATCAACAGGTCATTTGAGCTTAATTTTCTGCATGTATCACAATCCACAAACCCTTTTGGTGAACGGTATATATAAAGAGTTAATTGTTCATAAAACACAATATCACAGTAAAATTTATATAACCGACTTCATCTAGTGTAGTAGTGTAGTAAGGCTGCTTCTTGTTATCATAATCTAGAAACATTTTTATGTGGTCAGGTACAGAAATGGCCCAGTTGGTTTGTGGAGCCTGCCACACCTTACTGATGTACATACGTGGGGCGACAAGCGTGCAATGCTCTTGCTGTCACACCGTGAATCTAGCTCTGGAAGGTATTCAACTATTTAAGATTGTACCTCTGTAAAAAATGACATTTGAATCCAGGCACGTCTTGAGTGAGCTACTGTATATGATCTGAATCACTACTTGTGGGTAAGCATCAATTGTGGATTTGTGACAGCAAATCAGGTGGCACATGTCAATTGTGGCAACTGTAGAATGCTACTGATGTACCAATACGGAGCAAGATCAGTTAAATGTGCAGTCTGCAATTTTGTAACATCAGTTGGGGTCAGTACAATCTCCTTATTATTCTATTCTTAAATCAGCATATTTATATCATAAATTTCCCTCGTTTGCTTTTAACACTACAGAATATATGCCTGTTAATCAATAGTAATAACTATAAATATCTGTTTTCTAAGTGGCTCAATACTTCATATCAATCAGTGTCAACATAAATATAAATTTTACAGAAGCTGTACTATTCACAAGTTATAAACAGTACAGTTCATTTTTCAGTGCATAGGAAAACTTGTCTAGTTTTGCAATAAATGATGTAAAACATGCTTTGGCACTTGTGATACTTGGAACAAAAGTTCTATTTATAAAAGAGTTTTCTTTTTTTTTTCTTTTTTGTATGGCTATTTAATTGGGTTAAATTCAAGTGTTGTCAGGCCTAATTGAGGATAACTCTCCCAAAAGCATTTTACATTGAGTCGAATGAGGGTTCATAGCTAAGAACCATTTGATTTAGTGGCGTAAACCTTTCCCCTTGATGCAAGGGGTTCCATGTTCAATCCCCCATGTGGTCCAAAAAGGGAGGGGATTAAAAACATTTAGGTGAATTTGTCTAAGTTGGATAGGTGTTGTGTGCTGCGTACTGGGTGGGTGAGTGATGCATGTGTGTGGGACCTTTTTTCCTATGCGGAAGGGCTTTAGATTAAGAAAAAGGATTGTTACTGGTTTCTTGAATTCCTTTTCTTATGCATGAATTTGTTTACATTGATATTACTGAATGATACAGGTCTCAGCAAGCACAATTGAGCAGAAGTTCAGCAGCTAAATCTTGACAATAACAAAGTCATAAGAGAATCTACCGCTCTTAATTAGTAATGGGTGGATATCAGAAGGCACATGATTATTTTCTTCTTCTTCTTCATCATGTATAGAGTTATTTTCCTGTCCATCTTGTCAAATAATTTTGGTAACTTGGTGTATGAATAACTATTTATGATAAGATTCTTGATTCTGTGTGCTTTGAAAATCTACTTTTTTAGATAGTTGTTGCCAACTTTTTTGAAAAGAATCACCACAACTTGATTTCTATTCTGTCTTTTGAATCAGAATAAGTCAAAGTATCACCATCAAAAGTTTAACCAATCAAAACACGGCACCAGATGGATTAATTATCCAGGATATATATAGCAACTGGGTCAGTTCAAATGAAGATTTTAGAAATCGATTGAGGTGAGATTATTCAACAGAGTGATTATTATTCCACAGTTTTTGTAATGGCTGATTTTGACCAGCATGGCTTTTTTCATGAGTCTTCTAGACACACCGACAGGTCACGAGATAAACACTATAAACCTTATCAAAATCCAGCCTGAGCTTTTGTTTGGGTTGACCAACTTGCCCATGCTGTACTGTTCTGATCTTAACCTCCAAATTGGTTTCTCAATATTTCCCCCCCAATTTGTTGGACTAATCCAGACGATTATGTAGTATATAATTTTACACCAAGCCGTATTATTTGTATTTGAAAAAAAAAATATTTGTGAAGATACTTTTGAAGTAGATGTTGGTGCTCCAAACTTGCATTCAACACCCAATTTTTACTGATATCTCCATTTTCTTTTTCTTCTTCTTTTTATTTTTTTCAGTGTAACGTAAGAAAAATATGTCTAGCTTTATTGTAATTGATTTGTATATGCATGAGGTGCTGATCACAATCTGGACCATCCAAATTGAATTTGAATAGACTAGATTTAATTTAATTTTAATTTTTTTTAATTCATAGATGCAGAATTAAAATAAGATTATCTTTTACTTGTCATTTTATCCTTAAAAAAAATAAATTTATCATTTAAAAAATTAAATATTAAAAATTTTAGATTTAGACCACCCAAATTAAATTTAAATAGTCCAAATTTTATCACAACAATGAGCATTGAATGGAAATTTATGGATGTTACGCTCATGTCAACATAATAAAGGGATTATATTGAATGAAAAAAAAAAATGAAAAGCTAATATGTTGAAGGAAGGATCAAATTGATAATTTTGCAACTTTGTAAAGATCAAATTGCCATCTATGAACTTCTAAAGAAAGGAAGGAAGGTTAACCGGGGGCATATCTTTTATTGAATCACGTAAACAAAAGCAACTTTTTTGGTTGTTAAAAATACAAATCACGTCATTTTCAGGCTCTTGTTCTTCCCCATCCACTGGGTTTGGAGGCAGCAAAAATCAACCACAGTGAAAATGATCTGATATGGACATCTCTTCTTAATTATCACTGATCTTGTCTTCCCCAGAGAATATCTGTGTTCCCATCGTTTATTACCATCATTTAATAAACGTCTCCTTCAACTGATAATTACTCTTTTGTGATTATATGGCGTGCCTCACTGTATGCAAGATACTCAAATCTTGGTAACCAACACTGACTTCATTCTCATACATTTTTTCTTTTTTTCCTTTTGCTTTTTAATACAAAGGCTAAGCTTAACGGCTTAAAAAAGCCTGCAAGGCGAGACTGAACCCTGCGACCTAGGAGGCCATGAAAAAATTTTGTGCAAGGGGGTGATAAATCAGGTCATGTTATAGTGCAAAAAAATTGCTGCACCTATTGGATTGAAAGTGAAAATTCTTCACATCTCAATTATTGAAAGCTTGATACGCAAGCCAATCAATGTATTTATTTGTTTTTTTTTTAAATATATGATCAAAAGTGATTTTTCAATCTTTAATTTTTGTAATAATTTTGCGAGGGGGTAGTTTTTAGAAAACTCATGTTAGGCGAATATGAAAACGTTAAATTAGTTAAAGTAAATATTAACTTTATCAAACTTATCATTCTAATAAATTTTGATACCTTTAAGAATACTCATGAGTTTTACTTCAATGCTAGAGTGCAAGAGGAGGAATTTGGTGCCACTGGGCCACAGCACCATTGGTAGTAGGCTTCACTTGGGGTTTATCAGCGGGGGCTTGTTGAAGTAAGAGAGGCATCAAGTTCCTTCTTGGTGGTGCATGTAGATATCTGTGTGGGACCCATTTCATGGTGTGGGAGTAGGGGGGTCAATTTTAGTGAATTTGATCGTCTTGTTGTGGAAATTGGGGAAGAGGACCACGAGGGTTATATGCCTGTGCCTGAGGCTGTGCAATCAAAATCATGGACCCCAAATTCAATCCAAGAGAGATTGATTTCCTTTTCCAACATGAAAAGATGAAATCATGTTTGTCAAGCTGGCACACCAAATTTCCTCACACTCATAATTCTGTTCCCATGCTGCTCTGCCTTTGCATTTTGGAATACAAAAGCCTAGAGATAAACTCAGATGCAAATCAACCAGAATCTGCAAGTGACTGTTGTTGAAGTCATAACTCATGACAACTCTGCATTGAATGATGCTCCATACCATGTGTGCATGTGTACTAGGCCCAAGTATTTGAGATAAACGAGGTCAGTCCTTGGTCAAATAAAATAGGGAAAATTTTGGGGGGGGGGGGGGGGGAAACAAGGCCCATTAAACAAAGTAATTAGAAAAAGGGCTTAACTTGCATAACATGAAAGAAAAAATGTAAAATTGTAGAAGATAAAATGCAGACTGTGGAAGAAAATTGTAGATTTTGGTTTGATCCTTGCTTATTTTGTCCTCTTCCACAATTTTCCCAAGAAAAAATGTAGCCTATAAAAATAGCGAGTCTTGTCTAGATCATATGAGTAGGCCCAAATTAACGTTGCTTTCTTTGAGATAAAAAATATAAACTGAGAATAAAACTTAAAAATGTCAAATTCTGTCATTATGACGTCATTGTGACAACATTGAAGGCATTTCAGCTTCCATCCAAGTTATGCGATAGCAACGCAAAACAATGTTTTTGGTTTCTGTTTGAAAAAATAACTTAATTGAAATGAAAGTAGAATTTCAATGAAGATTCTTGAATCTTATTTATTAAAATTTAAAGTTTTTAAACTTTTAAAATTTCACTATAACTTAGAATACTAATTTGATATTAAATTTTTGAAGAAAATTATAAAATTATCTCTCATTTAAATTAATATTAGGAATACCCTAATTCATTTATTCATTTACTTATGAAATGCTATTAATTGCCCTACTTCATTTGTTTATTTTCCTGAAATAAAATCAAGTGAAAGTTTAGTAATACACAAGTGAAGTAAGCAATGGATAATACTTCGTAAGTAAATAAACAACATACATGATAGGAATCAATAAATTATTTTAAGATGATTTACACCTCAAATGAAAACAATTTAAGTAGGGCAATGAACAAGTGAATAGGGGGTGGAACTATGCTGGGCTAAGCTAGGCTTTAAATAAATAGATCTAAGTTTACGTGGTAAGTCAAAGGTTTGAGCTTGACTTAAAGCCTGTATAAGGTTTTTTTCATGACTGAAGCCTAAACTTACTTAAAGTCTGGCCTGATCTGAAAGCCTGTTGAAAAGCCTGCTTAAAAGTTGGCTTTTCAAATAGACTTACATAAGAAGCTTTAAAAGTCTTGCAAGTTTTAGGATTATTAAAGCATACATATATACAACTTGATTTACCAACTAAAATACATAATAAGTAAGAGGACTTATCAACTATAATACAATACAAAAATATAGTAACAACATTGAAATCAATACATGCATAAGTCGAATCTAATTGAAAACATAACTAAGAAATTGAAAAAAAAAGAACATATTGATTAAAAATCAAATGATGAAACTAGTATATCATAAATATTCACCACACAAAAGATAATAAAAAAGAATATAAGCAAGGAAGAACTGTCTAGTTTTTTTGAGTTTGATACAAAAGAACAAAAAGAGATTGAAAAAAGGGGATGGGGTTGATTATATCTAAATTTCTAAATTAAATATTATATATAGGTAATATATTATATAATATATATATATATATATATAAAATAAATAGGCTAGCTTATAAGTCTAATAGTGTAAGCATTGTAAAAATAGGTATAGCCTATTTAGGTAAATAAACCTAATCAAAGTCAAAATTTGACCTGGCTTATTTAGTAAATAGGCTTGGCCTGGCTTGAAGTAGACCAACCTATAAACCCAATGCTTGGTCTATTTCCACCCCGACAAGTGAAATAGGTAAGTTATTATATTAATTTAAATGAGAAATAATTTTATTATTTTTTTATAAATTTAATATTAAATCAGTATCTTAAATTATAGTAAAATTTAAAAAATTTAAAGTATTTAAATTTAAATAAATAAGATCCAAAGATCTTTATTGAAATTCTCCCGTAAATAAACAAACAGAGATGAAATTGAACAGCAGATTTACGCCAGATTATAAGCAGAACAACAAACGCTTGATAGATACGTGTTCAGTGGATATCTATCTATCCACCAACATATAGAAAAAAAAACACTATAATATAATGTTGACATAAGCCTAAGAGACCTGATTAAATTAAAAAAGAAATAATCTTTGACTGGTTTCAACGTGGCAACAAGCAAATTGAAATAGCCCTGCATGGAGAACAAGTGGCGCCCAACGTGCCCTTCTCCGAAGTCTTCGGTGTCTCAAAGCTCTGGACTTGAAATTTTCCAGGACCTGCATATAAATGGAGAAACAATGCTCTTCATTGCAAAAGCTTCAATTAAACGCTTCAACAAGAAAACTGATCGGTTCATTGTTTGAGTAAAGGAGGAAGACGTACAGAGAGATGCAATCAACAAAGGAGAAGCTAAGCAATATGGCCAGTGCTGCCAAGGAACACATCGACATCTACAAAGCCAAAATTGACGAAAAGGTCCGATTCTGAGCTTGCCCATACATTTCTTTGCCCTTCAATCTTCCAAAAACATGAACTTGTCGCTTATTATCATTTATCAGGCTAATAAAGACAACCAACAGCGACTATTTCTTTCTTTTTTTCCAAAGTAAGTAAAATGTCACAGCAGCGAGATTGATCATTCGTAGAATTGAATTATCTTCTTGTGATTGTAATTGTTGGGAGGTATCAAATAATGAGTTGAATAATGGTTCAGGCAGAGAAGTCAGTGGCAAGAACAGAGGAAGAGAAAATAATAGCACATGAGCGAGCCAAGGCTAAGGAATCTCAGGCAAAGATGGAACTTCATGAAGCAAAAGCCAGGCATGCAGCTGAAAAACTAAGTGCCAAGCAACCATCTCAGTTTAGCCATCACGACCCATCCTTCGTCGGAGCTCACCAACACGGCACTAAACAGCCAGCCTATGGGGCAGCTCCAGCGCCTGAAAACTCTTGCCCATTAGCTCGAAACTATCCCATGAACAAGCATATTTAGTAGATCTCATGTTTCACTCAAGTTCCTTCTAGGATGCTCCTTTGTTAACGCAGTCCCTTATTATGTATTCTGAGGATGGCTTGTATTATCTTCTGGCTTCATTACATTTAAGTTAGTTATGCTTTTTTTTTTCCCCGGTTTTTTTGGGGCGGGGTGTTGGTTGACAAGAATACATGTCACAGTTGTACATTCATGTGCTTGAAAAGAAAAGCAGAAGCTTCGTTTTTCCAAGTACTGATATTTTGACCTCATTCATCAAATCAAATGGAAGTCATAGGCACATGCAACAACATGAGATGCGTTAACCCAATAGGTTTTCGACAAGTAATGTTCTGCTAAAGCCCAATGCACAACAAGCCCAAATAGCATACAGTCACTCACATATACATTTTCCTTTGTCTATTTGTGACATTCATTTTTTATTATTTGTTGTGGTATGTATATGCGTGTCTCATTCACATGTACTAACATTTCTTCCCTAAATGCTATATATAATGAACTATTCATTGGGCTCTATGTGCCCTCATCTCAAATCCCCATTCGTGCTATTTTGTTGTCATGGTATCCCTGCTTTATTGCGCTCAAAGCTCACTCGTCTGCCTTCCAACCTGCCAAAGCTCTCTACAGGTTCAGCTGGCCCTTCCCAAAGTTACTTTGTTCAATCGGACCGCACCAACTATACCCTTTAGGCAACTCATGTTTTGCCTATTATCAAAGGTCATAAACTGGAGGATTTTATCAACTTGCCCTTCTTTTATTATCACTAACAATGTTTCAACACCTAACCCCAATTTTGAAGATTGGGTTGCTACCAATTAGCTTCTCTTTGGTTGGCTATGTCTCCACATCTACTTGTTTGTGGCGTTCTGCAAGAGAGATTGCTGGTGCTCAAAACAAAGCTCATGTGTTCATGCTGCACTCTGAACTATAAAGTACTCACAGGGGTTCCTCTACTATATAGGAGTATCTTACTAAAATGAAGAATCTGTTGGAGAGTCTCTCTCTTGCTAGAAGTAAGGTTCCTTATTTTGATTTTCTTCTTCAAGTTCTTGTGAGTCTGAATGGGGAATACAATCCTATTGTTGTTTAGCTCTCCAAGGAGGAAGATGTTAGTTGGATTGAGTTTCAATCCACCCTGCTTGCCTTTGAATCTCGCCTTGACCAACTTACTTTGATTGCATAGAACGTTATCTCCACTCAGTTTGCTCATCTAGCTGCTTTAAGCTCTCCTCGAGGTGGCTGGAGTGGTGGACGTGGTGGTTGTTCTTCATGTGGGAGAGGATGTTTAGGTCGTGGAGGTGAAAAACCTTATTGTGCTTTGTATGAGAAGACATGTCATCATGTTAAAAATTGTTTTAAGTATTTTGACTTCTCTTTCAAGCCTCCTACAAACAACAACAGCAATAAATCTTCATTTTCTGATTCTGGTGTCAACCAAAACTCAGTGTTCTATGCCTCACTTGAAGTTGTCAGTGACTGTTCCTGGTATCTTGACAGTGGAGCTACAACTCATGTTACAAATTATGCTTCTCGCCTTGATAATCCTGTGAAGAATGATGGTAAGACTCAGTTATTTGTTGCTAATGGTCAAAACATGAAAGTAGATCAAATTAGTTGTTCTAAAATACAGAATGTGCCAGGGCAGTGTGTTAAGCTGAGTAATGTTCTTTATGCACCTACGTCTAAGAGGAATTTGCTTAGTATACCTAAACTTTCTAATGATAATGATGTTTTTGTGCTTCTTAAATCTAAAAATGCTCTTGTGAGGAAACAGGGAACAAGGACAACTTTACTTTAAGGGGTGGGAAGTAATGGAGGACTTTACAAGGTCAATGTAAGGAAAGTCAAATATGATGCAGTCAAATTCGACCATACAAGTTGTTAGCAACAATAATAATACTATTGGCTGTGTTACTAGCCCAACTTCTAGTCCTATTATGAGACTTTGGCATTGTAGGATTGGTCATCACAATGACCGAATATTAGTGCTTGTAATGTCAAAATTAATGAGAAAAGTGAACCTTTGTTTTGTGAATCTTGTAAGTTTGGCAAGTCTGATTCCCTTCCCTTTAAAGTTTCAGTTTTCCATGCTTTTCACCCTCTTGATTTGATACACACAAATTTTTGGGGACCCTCACCTACTCAATCTCTAAATGGTTATTGGTATTACATTCTATTCTTAGATGATTTTAGCAGATACAGCTGGATTTATCCTTTGAAATCTAAGGATGAAGGATTACAAATGTTTATCAAATTCAAACAATATGTTGAGAACCAATTTGATCAAAAAATCAAAGTTCTTCAGGTGATTAGGGAAGAGAATGCGGGATTTTCAGTAAAGTTATGCAAGATGCTGGAATTCTGTTTAGACACCCTTGTCTTCACATCTCTCCTCAAATTGGTAAGGCTAAAAGGAAGCATAGACATATTATCGAAATGGGTTTGACTTTATTAGCTCAAGCTCATATGCCTTTGTTATATTGGTGGGAAGCATCCACACAGCTATAGAATTGATTAACAAGCTTCCTACCAATGTTTTGGGCGGTATCTCTCCCTATCGAAGGTTGTTCACTAAACTACCAAATTATGATAAAAAAGACTCTGTTCTATAAATTCAAAAGGTAAATAAAATACCAAATCATTGATGGAAACGGAAAGAGAGGGATTCGAACCCTCGGTACAAAAAATTCGTACAACAGATTAGCAATCCGACGCTTTAGTCCACTCAGCCATCTCTCCCCAATTGAAAAGGGCCCATGACTCCTCAGAACAAGATTCCTCAGAATAAATGGATTGGTTTTTGGTTCCTTCCGCCATCCCACCTAATGAATCATTAAGATTTGTTTTTAATAAAATCTTAGGCATTCACAGGTTCCGTCGTTCCCATCGCTTCTCGCTTAATGGTTAGGTCTCAATTGTACAATGGAGCCTCTAATTCCATTTTGTCTTTAGTTGAAAGTTTTTGGTGCAGCTTGCTATTCTTGCCTAAGAGCTTATAATAAGCACAAATTACAATTTAGACATGAGATGAGTTTTTCTAGGAGACAGTAATCATCATAAAAGTTATCAGTGTCTAAGTCCTACATGGAGAGTCTCTTTCTCTTGTCATGTTGAATTCAATAAAAATTTGTTTCCTTTTGTAGACGGTTTTCTAAATAAAAGAGGAGTACCTGAGGTAGAGATTCATCCACAAGAATTTTTTTAAAGCTTCATTTGGCTCACCGCCATCTCAGTGTCCCAGAAGCATTCTAGAATCTACTTCTCGTGCTGTGCATAACAATCACCCTGATTTAGATGTTGTTACTTCTAGTAACAAAGCATTCAGTCCTTATGTGTTTTTGTTCTAGTTTTTGACTAGAAGAAATTGTTGAAGAACAAAAAAGAATCAACAATTCACCATCTCAGTCTGTCTCAGTTTCTGCATCATCTTAGTCTGCCTCAGTTTCTACAAACTTAAAAAATCAACCTATTCAGTCAAGTGATAAAACAGATTTAGAACACAACAATACTGAACCAAAAAAAAAAAAAAGCATCACATGGTTCCTAGGAGTAAATCAGGTATTTTCAAGCACAGGACTCCTTATGTTGGATTGGTCACTGCTGACAGTAAGATTACTGCTGAACCTACCAGTGTTCCAGATGCTCTAAAGTCAAGCATGTGGAGGAAAGCTATGCTTGAGAAGTTCTATACTCTCATAAAGAATCAGACCTGGTATCAGTTCCATTTACAAGGAAAGAAAGACCAGTTGACTGCAAATGGACCTTCAAAAGTAAATTTGGTCCTAATGGGAGATTTTTAAAACCTAAAGCTTGTTTAGTAGCGGAGGGTTTTCAACAATATCTCGGGATAGATTATGACAAGACATTCAGCCTTGTCCTAAAACCCTCTACTCTGAGGTTTGTTCTTATAGTTGCTATCAGTTTTCATTGGCCAATTCGACAACTAGATATTAACAATGCTTTCCCAAATGGTTTTCTCCAAGAAAAAGCCTAAATGAAGCAGTTTGAAGGTTTTGTTGATAAGAGGTCTCCTAACCACATATGTTTGTTGAGCAAAGCTATCTATGGCTTGAAACAAGCTCCTGGAGCTTGGTTTGATTGTTGGAAAAATACCTTATTGAATTAGAAGTTTGTTCATTCTAAGTGTGGTAGTTCATTGTTTTTCCTCAAAATGCAAAGCAATGTCATGTTTTGCTCGGTCTATGTAGGTGAAATAATTATCACAGGGAATAATCCTCACATGTTGATTGTGTTCATCAAAGAGCTCAATGCTTTATTTCTACTCAAGGACCCGGGCAATTTACATCATTTTCTTGGAGTTGGAGCCTACAAAGATTCTACAGGGCTTTACCTAAAACAAGAAAAATACATTCTTGACCTCCTAAAAAAATGTGGAATGGAAAGATGCTCTTCAGTACCTATACCTATGGTTTTCAACAAGAATTTGTCCATTCAGATGGTGTTCCTCCCTCTAATCCTACAACCTACAAAAAGGTAATAGGTGCTCTACAAGATTTACTAGACTGCATATCATATTCACGGTCAACAAACTCAGTCAATTTGTTCAAAAGCCTACGGATGTGCATTTGGCAAGCAATCAAGAGGTTATTAAGATATATATAAAAGGTTCATCAGATATGAATCTTCATATAAGACCAAGTAATTACCTTAATCTCCAAGGCTTTTCTAATGCTGATTGAACTATATGTGTTGATGATCAAAAATTCTTAGCGGCCACTATTTGTTCTTTGGAGATTCCTTGATAGCTTTGTCAAGTAAAAAGCATAGTGTTGTTGCTAGATCGAGCACTGAGCTAGAGTGTAGGCCTCTTGAGGATCTTGCTATTGAGATTGCCTGGTTATAGTCTCTTATTGCAGAAATTGGTGTGAAACTCACACACACCCCAATCGCTGGTGCAACATCAGTGCAATGGCTCTAGCGTTGAATCCTATCTACCATGCTCGAACGAGGCACATTGAGCTCAACGTGTACTTTGTTGGTGACAGAGTAATCGATGGTCAATTGGTTGTGTATTACGTACCTTCATTTGAAAATGTTGCCACATCTTTACTAAGGCATTGTCTCACTCGAAGTCTCTTAGTCTAAGGAAAAACTCAACGTCTCAAAAATCTCCTCCTCTCATTTGAGGGGGCATGTTAAAGTAAAATTAATAAAGCCCGGCCAATAATGCTCTGCTCAAGCCCAATACACACAAGCACAAATAGCGTACGTCACGTAGGTTTTCTTTTGCCTATTTGTAACATCCATTCTTTATTATTTGCTATATGTATACACGTGTCTTGTTCACGTGTACTGGGGTTTCTTCCCTAAACACTATATATAGTAAACTATTCATTGGGCTCTGTGTGCCCTCATCTCATATCGCTATTCTTGCTATTTTACTGTCTCACATACAACGGATTAATTATAGGAAAATACAAGGACTGACCAGGAACTTCCCTTCAAAGGTTCTACTATGCAACGGTGGTGGCAGCTTCAAAATGATCCTTCTGCGAATTGGTCGCCAGGTTTTATCTCTTTGGCTAACAGCCTAACACCACAAAGCTCAATATGAAATTTTGCAATTTAATGTGTGGAATAAGAAACTCAGGCCTCCTTATCCTTAACTTTAAAGCTCATTTAAGGATGTGTTTTTTACTGCAGGTTCCCACTAAACAGACAAACTCAACGAGCCAAATATCGGACCAATTTTGTAGGATTTTTATTAGTTATAAACACTGTAATCTTCCATGGCGTTCCACACGCTGCTCAACTCAAGTTGACCGTCAAAAGAGGGCCTGCCTTGTTACCTTGACCAGCCAGGTATTATACTTCACTTTAAACTTGGCCAATGTTTCATGGTGATCCACTGATAGTGTTAATGGTTTAGAACGAACCTCATCAAAGAATTCATCTGCTGCATCTCCATCTTCATCCATTCTGAGACGCTTTGCATGCCAGCTCACACAGAACCCCCACCCCAGACCCCTGGAGTTGAGAAACATAAGAACCAGAAATATGAGCCGCCAGGAATAACTATGCATGCATCAAAATTCAAAATTACTAGAGGAAAAAGGAGAATTCCAAAACATGGTGATACATTTGGATGCTATTAGATACAAAAGGCTATAGATAATATGAAAAACCATATATACAAATAAAACCTTTCTATTTGGATGCTACAGATAATATTTCAGTCTTGCTTTGTAAGTTTGTCTGTTTCTTTTGACCTTTGGAATTTCCTTTCCAAGCGTCGTTTTAGGTTGTACTCGTTTTAAAATAAAACCTACTCTGTATACATTAAATCGCCGACGAACTCTAGTTTCTCTTCTTCCTCCCATCATAATGTATCCAGGTTTATATTAATAAGCAAGCACGTCGAGATGTTAATATGCTTAGGCCATCTATGCAAGCAACCCTTTTGCTCCGGTAAATTTAGTGAGCAACAACATCTTAATTCTTAAACACCCATTTAGCGCGTGTTAGCTTGAGATTTGAGTTTGATCATTGGCTTCGTGCTTGGATTTGTCGAGGTCGTCCTTTACAATCCCCAGGAACCTAGCTATCTTTATGGAAAACCCCATCCCCGAAGGAAAAAAGTTACGGAAGAGAAAGGGTGGCAGAAACAGGAGACAAGAGGATGGTGGTTCGTGCGCTCCTCTCATCTCACAATCTCTGTTCATGGTTATGCTTTTCCAGCTTCTAGAACGAAAGGAACAACGTTCATCTTGTTGAGGAAACCCTATTTTAGTATTTCGCACCAAAGATTTACCGCTTCAATTCCAATTTTCGTCGTTCATCTCTGACATGGCAAACACAATGGTCAATGGAGTTTTTTTTTTTTTTGAAAAAAAATTAAAATATGATAAAATTTGGGGAAAAATATATCTTTTTACTATAGATCCTTATTTTTTTTTTCAGTATTTTAAATTTCTACACTTTTATTTTCTAATATTTCAGATCCCTAAATGAGTAAAATGAATAAATTGTAAGAATTCTGAATGAATATAAAATACCAAAAAAATAAAAGTATAGGAATCTAAAATATTAAAAAAAATGTCAAGAACTCTAACAAAATATGAGCAAGGTGTAAGGACCAAATTGGTATATTTTTCCTAAAATTTAAATACTTCATCTTATATATTTAATATATTTTTATTTAATCAAATCAAAATAAATAAATTTTAATGTATTAATAATATTAACAATAAGAATTTATTATAAAATAAATAATATAAAAGAATTTATTTAATTAAAAACAAGTATTTATATGAGGATATAAGTTTTTTTCATTAAAATATTGTTTTGAAGGTCTTTCTTGTCAAAATAAAGAAATTTTGAAATGATTAAAATATCCCTAGATAAATAAAAGACTGAACCCATTTAATAACCATACATCAAAATTTAGCACAACTATAACAACAAGCCTTATTTTATTAGGTAGAGTTGGCTATATGAATTATACAACACCATTATATTCTATCATTTATTAAGCTTGCAGAAATATTATTAATTAAAAAGTCTTGATTAATAACTTTTAAAAATATTTTCTTTAGCTTTCCTCTACCCTTTTGATAGAATGCAAAGTTATTTATTTCACTTTTCTCAAAAGTGTTTTCAGTGATTTTCTTTATACACATTCAAATCACCTTAAATGATTTTCTATCATTTTTCTTTCAATAGATGTAATGCTTACTTTTTTTCATGTGCATTCATTTCAAATTTTAAACATATATGTCCACACATCTATCTTAATATTTTCACCTGCTACTCCAACATTCTCATTGAAATTTAGCACGACAAAGAAAATTTGATAGTCTACATTAAATTTTCATATCAACTTCAAATTCCCAAACCTTTTTCACAAACATGTTTGAAGGTGAATTAATTTTGTAAACAACAACATTACTAGTCGCATGTTGAAAATTGAGTACTCAAACAAGGCAAATTTAGTGCTCATACTTTATCGAACCTTCTTGTCGAATTCAGAAAAACCTTTTTACAAACTATCACATTGGTTCTGTGGGAAAAAAAATTGATAGCCATTCACTAAAATAGAAATTAATAGCCACGCGTTAGTTATTCAATACTCGAACAAAGCAAATTCAGTAGTCAAACTAAGAAAGTTTGCTGGTCTGGAGTGTGCTTTATTTGCACAGGGCATTTCGGTCATTTCAAGACTTCTTCGTTTACAGAAATGGGTTATGAATTGCCGGGACAAAAATGCACCTGCTCACACTTCAGAGTTTGTGCCGATAAATCTGTTTCCCTTCTCACGCGACGAACGCCATTATCGAATGAGAAAATGATGCATTGGTAGTTCTAAAATGTAGTGCAGAGATCGGTAACAATGATCGGTTTCGTGGGTTATGAATTGCAGTAATCTCCAATTTCCATATCAACTTTTCATCTACTCATTATATAACTACAAATTTAATCAAATTAGGAAATTCAATATAAACCTACATCTGCGCCCCGCATGAAATATTACTATCCGTGAAATATATAATACACATAGCATTACTCAATAATCATTAGCATTACAACAAGATAAAGTGTAGATCACAACAAAATATTAAGCGCACAAGAAAGACACGGGAAGGGGTGGGAAGAACCAATTTAATATTCCAATAAAACGCTGGCCACAGGAATATCAAATTAAAATTTCACACACACAAGCATTTGTATCGATATGATGATTGACGAGTAACCCCTCATACTCTCGCTAACAAGAAAACACTGCAGCAAATGGATTAATAATTGAACGCCGAATTTGGGATTGCTTCAATCTCTACCCATCACCCATCCACAACGCCTGAAACCATCCATCTACGTTTCTTCAGCATCTAATCTCGTATGATCCTGCTTTTGTAATATAACGAACCCACTCAACGGTGTTGTACCCACTCTTCTCCCACACCTGCAGACAGAGAATGAATCAGTCCACAACTTAAAAGAAGAAAATGCGTGTACGAAAATTATGAAGTTTTAAAAAAAGAGGGTCAGGATGGATACCTTGAGAAACCGAACACGTAGACCAGATGCTGTGAACATGGGAACCTGCACGTACAAAACAAGGGGAAACTGCTATGTGAAAAAGGAAAGGGAAGGTTTGGAGACAAGTGATCAGAATTGTTGAAAAATGCCAACAGAACTATTAAGATGTCATACTCCCAACTTCCAACTTCTACCCGAAGAAGAGATCCAATATCATATATGCGCAGAGATTTTAATCCAGCAGATGGAAGATTCCCAATAATTAACTTTCTTTTCCAATTCTTAGACGTGATTGCTGAGTGAGTTGTTGTATAATGCAAGATAGAATATGCAGTCCCAAGTACTGTAAAGAATATAAGCAATTGCTTGCCCATCTTCGCGGAATTAGTAGAAGGAACAGAGGAAACACCTGAAATTCCATCTGAATTGGTGGTCTTGTCCAAGATTTCTTTTCCGCCATTGTGGAAATAAGTTCAATTTCTGCACTCAAGGTTGGCTCGGTTTGCCCAGGAAATTTTCTAATCCTAGAATTTAGAAAGAGTTATTGGAATATAATTGATTGACACCATAAAAACATTCAAATTAGGATTATTGGAAGTTTCAACATGCAATAACGAAGTAGGATAAAGAAAACTATTCACTTAATGTTCATAATAAATGACACTCACTTCCAAACCAAACAATCAATAGCAGCATTATATTTTGCCCGGCCAGATGTTACTGTGAAACTTGTTTTTGCTGTTTGTTTTGGCACAGGAATTTTCACAACCACCCCAAGTGCAAACATTTTTGCACCAAAGACACTCTTTACCTGAAAAATATTTTTAAAGTATATAGATTCAGTAAGAGGCACAATCTCCAATCTTCAAAACATTGGACCTTCAAATAAAATTTCAAACCTTAACATTTACTTCCATCCGTGTTCGTCCAAGCTCCTTGATGGTAGGTAATACTTTGAAGGGGAGATTAACACCCTCAGTGATACGATACCTACCCAAAGCAGTCATGTTAGTATATATCACTACTGAAGTTCTAATATTAGGTAACAATGCTATACATCTTATTGGAACTATGAAAATATCTTCAAATGAGCAGATATTGCTATTTTCTAGCAATGTTGAGATTATAATTAATAAACAATGAGAAAATCACCTCATTAGAACTACCAAAAAATACACTACAGAATAAGATTTGAAAGCTGTCAAGTATCAATCTGATCCAAAAAAGTTAAAAGGAGGGAGAAAACATTCTAACAACAAAGTAAGCATAGGCCAGAAGTTTGAATAAATGAAATTAGAGATCCCAGGAAACTATGACTGGCACAAAGAAAAGATAATCTGAGTGAAACAACTAGGTATCAACAAATTAGTTGAAATCTTAAAATGGTTTGGGGGGAAAACCTTTCTGAAGAAATAAGTGCTTACAAGCCAGATTTCATTTCAAATGTATCCCTTGACTCTGTTCCAACAAAAGTTAGGGAACCACGTTTATTCTAAGAAAAACTAACCAGTTTTATGCAGTTGTTACCAAAGCTCAGCAGCTTTCAGTTTTCTTTTACACTGGGCTTGGGGGGTGCCACAGAGGTAATAAAATGCTTATGGATCAAAGTTTAATAATGCTGATCTACTACAAACCACACCATTTGGCTATTTGAAAGCGCAGAAGACTCAGATTGATTATATGATAGTTAATCTTCTACTGAAGCATGAAGTTAAATGTTTGAAGTAGGTTAACCTAAAATAATAAAGATGATATGCCATTATAAGTAAATATCTTACTTCATTAGTTCAAATTCACCATCAGGTGGAACAAAGCTAACAGTCTTCTCTGAGTTGAACCTCGTCAAATTTACACATTGATGGAAAGTGACATCATCCAGCTCAATAGTTTTACCACTGCAAAATATTTAGTTGATGAGAAAAGGAAAACATCAACATTTCAGAGCATCATATTTTCAATTATATTTGTAGTAGGAGAACATAGAGAAAACTTAGAACAATAACATCAAAAAACAAAGCTATCAATAGAAGAAAAGTAATCAGGGAAAACAGTGCATAAGAAAGGAACCTTTTGGTGGGACGGGATTTAAGTTGTGACTCTTTTTCAAGACCAATTTTATCATTCAAACCCAACTTCAAATCAGGCATTCCAGAAAGGAAGCACTTCATGAGAATCTTCCCTGTCACATCACACCGCAAAACACTACCTGAAATCACAAAACAGTTAGTATGCAACACAGTAGACATCAACATGGAGACAATTAGAATCTATAACCAACCTTTTGAAGACATAAGAAGATTTACGCTTTCCACAATATCCAGGAAAACCTGCAACAGGCCAACGTTAGAGTTACTGTGCCAATATTCAATCCTCAATAATATAGGATGTTAGGTAATATAGAATTCACCTCATTCTTTTTGTACACAAGACCCTCTCTCCGCCATCCGACAGCTCCAGTTACTTGTAAAGTTGCATTTGGAACAGGTCTATCTGTGGGCTGCTTCCCCCCCATTGAACACAGCATATGATGAAGTAAAGAATTTAACAGGATACTCAATCGAGAAAACATGTAAGAATTATATACTGAAGAGAAAGGAAATTTTGATAGCAAATCAGCTATGAAGACAGCAGTTAAAAGTTTGTTAGCTTTTTCTAAGTGGTTCTACAGCCTAAAGTGAAGAAGTGGCATAGAAAAGTGGTGAAAATAAAAATGTGCAAAACAAAACAGTGTCCAAGAATTAAGTAATAGTGCAATTTCATATATTCATGCAACCATCTACAATGTACTCTCTGGATTTCCATTTTAACAAAGTCATTTTTTAATGCCTATTGTGTGTCCTACCACGTCCCAGTTCATGTTCTTACTTCATGGTAGTTACAATAGTATATGTGGACTGACCTTGGATGAAAAAGGGGACCGCACTCCTTCCTGAGTAATGTAAAGCTTTAAGATCTCTGGTGAAAGATTTTGTGGGTAACCAAAATCCATGATTTCTGCAAATACACGTCATGTCAATTATTCGTGATTTGCCCATTTATACAACTAATAGTTTTCCTTTTAGCAAAATTAGACTAGGTCTTTCATTGTTATACATGATTTGACTTGGCAAAAACATATTTTCCAAGTTACTCATCTGCATAAATATAACAAAGATGCACTATAAACACCTCATTTATCGGTCAATAAAATTACATGCAAAGCATTAGCTAGCACCCAATACCATAGCAGTTCACAACTCACGAACACAACCATAACTTATTGCATATTTTGATCAAGAAAATATCATCAAATATTTAAGATAAAGAAAATCATCTTGGTATGGCTGTTATCACCAGTACAATGAATTTGTAGCTTGGCATGCGGCATTATGAAAAAAGGCCAGTATGTCATTCAAATATGCTCCTTCAAATGAAAATTGAATTTTTATATTATACACAAATCAAGCATTTGAAGAGTTTTATCAGGTCTTGAGACAAAGGATGGAGAATGAAAAATTTATAACATTGCTAAGAGTAAAGAAAGAAAATCAAAAGATTTGGAACAAATAAGATGTATAAAGGATAAAGAGGGAAATGTTTTGGTCACAAATGGTGATATTAAAGATAGATGGGAGACTTACTTTTCTAAACTTTTTAATGATGGTGGGGGTTAGTCTAATAACTTATAGGATTTAGTAACTCTTGAAGGAGAACAAAATTTGTTGTTCTATCGAAGGATACGCAATTGGGAGGTAAAAGAAGCTCTTAAAAAATGGCAAATGGTACAATGATTGTATTCCTATTGAAGTATGGAAATATTTAGGAGACGAAAGGGTACAATAATTAACTAAGTTATTTAATAAGATCTTACAGTCCAAGAAAATGCTTGACAATTGGAGGAGAAACACCTTAGTTCCTATTTATAAAAATAAAAGAGATAATTAGAATTGTGCTAACTACAGAGGGATTAAACTTATGAATCATCCAATGAAACTGTGGGAAAGAGTAATTGAGCATAGGTTGAGATTGAAAACCGGTATCTTTGAGAATCAGTTTGGCTTCATGCCAGGTAAGGCAACTATAGAAGCATTTTATCCACTAAGAGAATTAATGGAAAAGTATTGATGCAGATATAAAGATTTACAAATGATTTTTATTGATTTGGAAAAAGCTTATGATCGTATATCGAAAGAAGTACCATGGAAAGCTTTGAAAAAAAGGGTGTCCAAGTTGCCTATATTCAAGCTATACAATATATGTCTAAGGGGGCAACAACTAATATAAGAACATCTGACTGTGAAACAAAAGACTTTCCTATAAAGATTCAACTACATCAAGGATTATCGTTGAGTCTTTATTTGTTTGACCTACTCTTAAATGTTTTGACTAAGCATATTCCAGAGGAAATCCCCAAATACATACTTTTTACGAATGATATAGTTTTTATTGCGGAGACAAAGGAATAGATTAACAATAAACTAGAGTTATAGAAGAGGACATTGGAGTCAAAAAGGTTTTTACCTGAGTAGGAGTGAGACGGAATATTTACATTATAATTTTGATAAAAGGTCAATGAGTAGCAATTTGGAAGTGAAATTCGATAATCAAATTATACCTCAAGTGGAAAAGTTCCACTAATTGGGAGCTATTATTCAACAAAATGAGAAAATTGATGAAGATATTGCCCATAAGATACAAGCTAGGTGATTTAATTGGAGAAAGGTTAAATGAGTTATTTACGATCGTAAGGTACCTAATAAACTTAAAGAGAAGTTTTATCGAAGTGCAATAAAACCAGTAATATTATATGTAAATGAATGTTGGGCTTTAATAGGACAATAAGAGCATAAAGTTGGAATAACAAAGATAAGAATGTTGAAATGGATGTGCGGATATACATGTTAAAAAAAAAATCCGAAATAAACGCAAATGGAAAAAGTTGGGTGTCACACCCATTGAAAGAAAAATAGTAGAAAATCATTTGAAATAATTTAGACATATATAATGAAGACTACAGGAGGGACCTGTGAGGAGAGTGAGACAAATAACTTTAACCCTTGTCAAGAAGGGTAGAAGAAAGACAAAGAGAATACTTTTTGAAAGTTGTTAATCGAGACCTCATAATCAACAATATTTCTAAAAAATTGATAAGTGATAGAGCACATTACTGTCGTATAATTCATATAGCCGACCCCACTTAGTGGGATAAAGCTTGTTGTTGTTCAAGCAAGCATATAAACATGTTAAGCAGGTAATGAGGTATTTGTAAGCTCTATTTTGTGTTCCCCCAATTATAAGTATAAATGATATGGACATCTTGTAAGGTGCACAATCATTCCCTTGCACCTCCCTCATCAGTTTATATATAATATTCCCCACTCATTGAAACTTTGGCAGATATATGAACCTAAGTGGTAAAGTTTTTAAACAAAGGTCAGTTTTACAATCATGTGAGATAACCCTTAGAATTCAAAGAAAAACAACTTCAACAATTACATAAAGTACACAATCATCATTATCATTACATTATATAAAAGCTAAATCAATTGATACTGTCTAATTACAGCTTATCCTTGAATTGCATTTTTTTCATATTTTTTCTGTTCTTTAACCTTTGTGTAACAGCCTAACAGGGTTATGGTCTATTTAAATCAAATCATGAACGTGGAAGGACTTTAATTCTAAAGGAAATATAGTTTCTGGCCCTTGATAGGTATATTCCTCAATTATTTCGTTTCTGAATCTTAAAAACATACTATTCTGTCTGTGAAAGAAAGATCTCAGTTATTTGCTTCTTGCATCTTAAAAATATACAATTCAGTTCCTTAAGGTCTTTTGACACACTAATCACTACTTCCCATCAATAAATGCTCAATGATGAATGATATTTCTAAGATTTATGGACCAAGTTGTTGAAGCACACATCTTCCAAAGACCAAAAGTACATTTTCTCTACATTCAATTACCATATGAACCACATACCATCCAGAAGCTCGTATATGAGAACAAAATTATTGCGAATTGCATCTTCATCAAAAGCTCCACCAAAATATGATTTAAATAGCGCAACAGCCTGTAAAGAAAGAAGTAAATGTCATGCACCATAAAGATGAAACTTTTGTATCATTGCAGATGGTAAATAAGGAACAAAGAGAACAGAAGCAGTTTAAAAAAGAGCAGCAAGAAATTAAGAGATTACAGATATCATTATCACAATGTTGAGAGCAGAATATCACACTTTTCTTGGTACAAGAAAATAATAAATTTTTTAAAACAGTTACATTCTTGGCCTTGACAGTTTGTCAGACTTAAGGTTATAAGCTGATAATAAAGAACTGTAGCATGACAGTGAAACATATAAAAGGGAAGCATTGATCAGGATTGAACTATCACTGTTGATTGAACCAGCCCAAACTGATTTCATTAACAACCATTGGAGGAAAAGACACTGTGAGTGATTAAATAATATACATGTCAACATGACAAATCTTGTTCAAAGAACATAAAACCACATTGCTAAGTCTATGAGATTCAAATATAGCATTCATTTTCCATGTGCTAAATGCTTTATTCCTTTTATGACCTCTCATAGCATCACCATTAAACAGCACTGACATGATTAGTCCATTGCACAGCTTTGTTGGTTGGCAATGAAAAATAATTAGATTTTGGGGTACTCAAACAAGAGCACCATTAATTGGTTTACATCTCGTCCATACCATATCCTAAGAATCAGTTGTCCTTAAGCCTTGTAGTACACAACATAAAAGAAGGCATCTTCATGTCTAACGCATGTCAAACTAGCATGTGCTCAGCATCATTCTTTCATTCAAATAATTGTTTTCCCTATTAAAGCAAAGCACAGAGAGCAATAAGACTGTCCATATGTGAACATAATTTCTCAATACAAACTGCCACCATGAAACTTCAAACAACCAAAAACTTCAAATGACCATAATATAGATCATATAACACAGCATATCCAGAAAGAGAGTTGCCAGAAAATGATGTGCGAATAATTTGTGTAAACTGATTTATACATCATCTAGATTTATCTTGCAACAATGACAACAACAATTTAATGGGCAAAAACAGTCATCAGGGAGGTGTCAAAAACAAGTAGATGTTAACTACCTCAACAACAAACTTAAAAGCACAAGCTACATTAGCATTGCTGCTGACAACAATCACAATGTAGACATTGCTGATCCTCATGTAAAAGAAAGAGCAGCCACCTATCTGCCTCACAGGACATGTACCAAGTTCTTTTGTCTGCATTATATGAGTCCGGAAAGCATCCACCATATTTCCCCTGCAAAACTAGGTATCAGTAGAGGCAATATTGTACACGATTGAATTCTCACCCCCCAAAAGAAGTAAAGGAAGACCAGAAGAGAGCTTAGGCGCCTCTGGTAAAGGGAGATTTAATTTTCCAAGTAGATGGAAATTTATAAGATACTTGGGGATAAGAGATAAGAACGAAAAAATTCTATGTATTGCATGGACCCAGAATTTCTAGTGTGTAATTCGGTGCTGTGCACTTGCCACACCATGAGGTGCTGGTACCTTACAATGAGAATGAACTTTACAATACTTGAAAACAAATGTGATGCTCATTGTACATATAAGTCTATACTGGTTCCTAGCAATGCAGCAGGGCTGCAATAAAAAATTGCGCAGCAGACGTTCCAGCTCAGTATATGTCTTAAACAACATGCAAATGCTAACTTCTTCATAGACGTCACATTAAACTTCTGATAAATAGATTTCCAAACCTCTGGGAAGCTAAATGACTAATAAACGCCACTCAACTAAAAATCTCCAACCATATGAAGGAGCATATTATAGTATACCAAGATCTTGTGCAAGCTAAAACCAATTCACCTCAATGAACAAATTCCAGGGCTTCATTAAAGGGCACCTTAAAAGTAATACACGTAATCAGAAGCCCTGGCTGCGTTCCCAAGCAAGTGGAAAGTATCGGGAAAAAAACTGTTTGAAAAGGGAAACCTTACTCTACATCTAAGTTTTTATCGAAATAAGCTACTTGTCTTCTGTTGATGATCCAGATACACAAAGCTCTATCACTAATATATGAATAAGCCGCCCCATTTCTGACAATATCCTATTTATGAAGAAAACAAAAATAATGACAAGTAATGAGGCCCTATAACATGCAATGAGAGATAATTCGTTCCCCAACTTAAGATCAAGAATTAGAGACAACGTACAAAGAAGTAGGAAAAGCAGAGAAAGTAGAAGATTCAGTTACCCGACATCGTCGCGATAAAGCCGATTGATAAGAACATCTCCTCGGAGGTTCAAGAAGTATATAGCGGAAGCTGCAACCGGCATCTCCGATCCAGCGTATCCAATTCCAAATTCGCCGGCAAGGAGCCTCGGAAGATCAAACAGAAATGATCAGCGTGACTCCACAGATAACAGCGCCGATCTGCGGATCAGAAGGCGTGGCTTAGACAATGACCAGCAACAATTCTGTGTTAGCAGCAATCAAGTGCTGCATCGGAAGAAGTCGTCGTCGTCTATGTGTATGTAGCTACCGCGGAAAATACAGCGGAAGAAAATGAGTATTAGCGATGAAATGATCCGAAAAATTTTGAAGGAAATTTGCTGGGTGCAGTTTTTGGCAGAGTCGCGGGGGGCTCCGGTCAGCGGAATCGGCACTCGCACACTCGCACTATTTGGAATTGCACGGCACGTGCGTTTTCCAGACCCTCAAGGGAGCGATATTATTTATTTATTTATTTATTTTCGATTTTTGCTTGTAGAAAATCTAAAGTTGTCCAAGAGAAATTCTGGTATGAATATGGACTAATCCCTTGTTTGATTTGAAGGGAGGGAAAGGACTTTAGTCCCCTCTCCTTATTTAGACAGTAAAAATGGAGAAAAAGGACCTCCCCTCTAAAATGTAAGTTTGAGGAGGGGAGGAGTATTATTTTGATATAGTATGACTAATATATTCATGTTATGTTATGATAATTCCAATTTGTCCCTGTCTAAATAAGCCCATCACTTGAACACCTCGACTCCACAGTGATTCCTATCGCACCACAATTTCAACCGACCTGTAGCTAAGTTTGTTGTTCATGTCACCATTGCCATCGTTGTCTACAGGTGGGTTTTTTTTCTCTTTGTAAGTATTTTGATTTTTCTCGTTTCCATCTGATTAAAACCTAAAAAAAAATTTTATGCTCGAATTATTAAAACGTATGAAATTGGTGGCTTTGGTTCTTCCTATTCCTGACTTTGTCCCTCATTGTCTGCATTGGTTTTGGTGATTCATGTACTACATCATTAGGAAAGCACCGTTTTGGTGAGTATCAATTGAAAAAGCACAAGGTTTGATTTAAGGTCCTGCAAAACGGTGCTGCGATAACGGTGCTTTTTTGGTTTAAATCAATGTTATCAATGTCCACCATTGTCAATGTGTTCTAAATAATTTTGGCATTTTGGAATATATAAATATGCTAGGTTGGCAATTCAAAATTGCAATCATGATTCATGAGTCTAGAAATCAACGTTTGATTATATGTAAGCAAATGCTTTCTTCCAAAGCTCTTTTTTTTTTCATCATGAATAATTAATCATTTAGCATGGAAAGGAAAATAAACACTTTCAATTTTGTTCTCTATTAGGCAACTGAAGTTATGATATTATAGGCAACTGAACATAAACATTTTCAATTATATCAATCACCCAATTTATTAAAAATTTTGAAGATGATGTCAGTTTTTTTACTCATGATTCCTATGGATTGATAGTAGCTGGGCATTGTTAGGAAAAGGCAACTCTCTAGTAGACTATCATTTGCTCATTCTATGTTCTTTACTCTCTAATATATATTTGTCGCCTATCCTCATCATAAGATGATGTTTAGAAGTAAAATCTATATTTATTTTTGTTATCCCATTTGATATTGAAATTTGCTTCAATAACAAGTATTTTTTTTTTAGATGGAATCTAATGATTTTTTGATTGAATGGCTGGATATGTGCTGAAGGCTTGTAGCTTATTTCATTTGTCTTGTTGCTAGTTATTATGCACTTCTTGTAATGTTTCAATTTAAATTTTAATAGCTCATTTAGATTAATAAAAATTTTGGAGAATATTTACAATAAGTAAATTAGTTAGGAAATGATTATTGGATCTAATTTAAGATATAATTTTAAGTTAAGATTTTTAGAAATTACTATTACTATTATTGTTGTTATTATTGTTATTATTATTATTATTATTATTATTAGGAAAGTAAAAAAAATTAAAAAGGGGGTGAGGAACGGATTTATATTCCTGTGTGTGTAGGTGTATGTAGAATTAAAATGATGATCATGATGAATAGGGGTGTTCATTCCGGACCCGTCCCGATTGGCCCGGTATCGTCCCGATCATATCGGGACAGGTCTTGTCCCTGCCCGAAAATAATCGGGACGGGACTTTACGGGACGGGACAGGAAAGGAGTGCGGGACGGGACAGGACACGGGATTACCATCGGGACGTCCCGTCCCGTCCCGAATATTATATATATTATTTTTTATTTTAAATATATTAATTATATTAACATAATCTATAATTATATTAATTATATCAATTATAATTTTAATACTTGTAATTCTTATTTAAAACTAAAGTTTTTTTATATTGATAATTTTAATGGCATGGAGTAAACATGACGATATCTTTCTTTATAATATATTAATTATATTAATATAATTTATTCTTATATCTATCTATTTAATAAATTTTCTTTATAACATATTTCTTACTTATTTTTAGAAGAGTAATTGGCTTAGTATATCTTCACTAAAGTAAAAGAACAATTATTTAATGTCGTGTTTGATTTGCCTGTTGTTGCTAATCTTATAGCATAAAGATCACTTGTATTTTTTATTATAATATGTAGTTGTGATTAATATAATTCAATAATTGATTTTAAATTATTTTTATTTATGTACTTGCGTTATTTTGATTTTAAACTTAATAAATTATATGATTTAAAATTTTAAAAAATGTTATTATTCAAATCTTTTTTTCACATTATTCCATTTATCGGGACGGCGGGACGTCCCGATCTTATCCCGGTCCCGTCCCGACTCTTAACGGGACGGGACGACTTTCGGGACGGGACGAGACACGGGACCAAAATTTAGTCCCGATATTTTTTTCGGGACGGGACACGGGACGGGGGTGTCCCGGTCCCGTCCCGTCCCGTGAACACCCCTAATGATGAACGGAGGGGGTTTTATAGCACGGACCCACACCTTTTTTCTTTTTTTCTTTTTCTTTTTCCAAATACACACCCTTGTTTCATTCTCCCATTTCCCATTTTCGTCTCCTTCATCTTCTTCACATAGCACCACGAGCTCGCAACAGGGTAGAGAATTCTAGGAGAAATTTTTATGATAAGGCTTTCTAATAAAATATTTTGAGTGTTATTTTAAGATTTTTAAAATTATGTAAGTATTTTAAAAAAAATTCTTAATCATCTATCCTCTTTAATTTTTGATTTTGTGATGGTGAAAAATTTAAAGTTTGAAAGAGGGACGAATTTATGATAAATAAAGTGATTGTTGAAATTGTTAATAGTATAATAAATATTTTAGAGTACAAATTTGTTAATGTGATTTGAATTTGAGACTTATAAGTTAAATCCTAGACTCCTATGGATAAATTTTTGTTAAATCTAAAAATATAAGTTAATTTGTTAATGTTTAGATGATTATTTGGGATGAGAAATAGACTATTATAGTTATATAATGATGACTTTAGGCTTAAGATTAAGTTTATAATTTTTGAATATTTTTAGGTGCGAATTTATGAAATTAAAAATAAAAATTTTGGATAATAGAAAATGTTTTAAAGGTTGATTTTAGTTTATTAGTGTTTATAGACTAGTAAAAGAAGAGTTAAAAATTTTACTTAAAAGTACTAACTCTAGATTTGTATTAATAAAGGGATTAGAAATTATGTTTTCTATAATTCTATAATTAGAGTTGTTTGTTTGGTTTCAATAATTGATACTAATATTTATAAATAATGTATTATGTGTAGATTGTATTGTTAGTGAATTTGTGGTGGAAGAAAAATTGTAAGAAATAATTTATTGAAAAGGCCACGAGATAACCATACTTTAATTTATTATTAGTGTTGCTTCATGTTAATTGTATAATTATTAAGAAAATTATGAATTATTGTTGAGAAATTATTTTGTTATGTTTATGGTAAAATTGTGAATATGTATTTTGAAGTATTTTTACCAAATAAGATGTAATATTGTATAATTATATAATATTGATATGTGATTGTTTGATTTTTGTAGGAGGTATTGGGAGACTTGTTGTTATTGTTGTATTTTGTGTCATGTGGTGCGCCCCTAATAGACCCCTAATAGGTGATTTGTAAGGGCTCGGGCTAATTTACTTTTGGCCGAATAATCTAACATTGAATGAGAGCTACAGCTTGAAGTTAATGGAGGGAGATAAGGATGGTTGTTTATCATGTATTACAATATCTCTTGTATTTTTGTTGGAATTATAAAATTGTTGATTTCCTACTTAGCAAGCATACATTTAACTATTTGCATACATTATTATAAATTGGCATTGGTTATTGAAACTTTTAAGTCTCATCATGTGGTTAATAATTTTTAGGAAAGAGGCCATGAGTGCACATGAAAGAGCCCATGAGGCTTAGTGGTGTGGATTCACTGTTTCTTTTGAGTATTTTTTATTTACGATTTTTAATATATTATATTGTCAATATTAAGGCTTTTTGTTTATCGATCATTACATGAATGGAATGATGCAATCGTGCTCTTCAAACTATTTATGCTTTTGGTACATTTTGAATGATTGTAACTTTGATGTCTGATCTATTTTGGATGTTTTGAAATGGCATGATTATGGGGCCATATAACTGGCTTTTTTTGAAAATTAATTAAATTGTCTATTTGGGTTGTTGATTTATGGTTTGCACATATTGGGAGTATAAGGTTGGAAAAATGTGATTATAGCCTAATAGCATGTGGGAGGTTGAAAATTTACTTAAAATGTTATATTATGCAAACCTAAGTCAATTATTAAATACTTTTATATTGAATTTATTAATATAAAATGTGTTAGGTGGCTATAATCTAACTATGATTGTAGATGTGTATTAACATTATAAAAAATTGTTTTGTATTATTTGGCAAGGTTGAGAGGTGGTTATAAGATTTTAAAATGTATAACTATTTCTATTTTTCCTAATATATTGTGTTTATCAAGTTCTTAATTTTAAAAAGGATCTTTTGGAACCTTTCATACTTATTTTATTTTAAAATGCTTGGGATCCCAAATTTTGAAAATGATAAGTTAAAGAGTTTAAATTCTATTTATCATAATAGCACTTATTTATCTATCTTAATCTTTTATACTATGATAGTGTTTCAAGTTATAGAATTGTTTTAAAGAAAAAGGATTAATTAACTTCTGTTTACCATGGTAGACACTTCTCTACCATGGTTGAGTTAATTATTTGAGAAAAATTTTTAAGGTATTACACTCCTAATGTCTAATAATGGGAGAAAAGTGAGCTATAGTATGAGCTCAAAAAAAGAAAGAGTACATGAAGAAATAATGAGTTGAATAACTAGTGGTGATAATGGGTGAGATCTTGTTAGAATGGGTTTTCAAGCTTTCTTAAA